AAATGGTTGTTCTGCAGCAGGGAAGTGGCAATCCGGATAAATTAAGCTTAAGTCCTGAGTAGTCAGGTGAATTTGATCGCATACAAATTATCGAACGAGAGCACGCTACCTGACTAGAAAGAACTTAAGTGTTCTCTTTGAAAGGAACCGTTGAAAGTACCAGCGATCAACTGTGTTAGTGGCTTTCTGTCAGTTGCGCACAAGCTTCCAAGACTGTCTGTAAGCCATGAAACTGCCGGATAGCGGCAACTTAACAACGAACAGCGCAGAGACCACAAAACATGCTGAAGGACTTTGACTGGAATAGATTGGCGCTCGACGATGGGTGCGGATTTAATTGGGTCGAAAATGAGAAGAGAATCAATAAGAAAGGGGCTGGTTCTTCGATGCCTGCACCTGGAGGCTTGAAGTTGATCGACACCTGAGGGTGCTTTCTCTAAGAAAAACCGGCTACCCGGAAGCGAGCTAAATGGCGCCAAAAAAAAAAGGTGAAATAACAAGAGGAGAAAGACGAGGAGAAAGAGGCGAAAATGGGATGTTGTCAGAAAGCTGAAAGTCACATGCACCTATTCTCAGCGACCAGAAGGCGGATTGAGGCGCAATGCTAATGGCGGCGGAAAGAATGGCTCGACGGCGATGGCGGGCGGAGGTCGCGGAGGCGAAAAAGAAGACCTGCAGGCGCTGTGGTGGAGGTACTGGAACTGCCGTTGCTAGGCGCAGCGGATATGAAAACCGAGAACAGAGGTGAAGCTTTGGTAGCGGATCAAGAAAGTAAGAGACGTGGCGTAGATGTAGTAGATAGATAAATAGATAGATTGATGTAGGATGGGCAGAAGAATGGTGTGGTTGCAGACCCCGGCCTTACGGTCCCTACAAGGCTCGGGGAAAGGAAATGGGCTGTAATTGCAAGGACTAATTCCCTGTTTTTCGTTTGTCTCTCAGTCGGGGGGTTCTCGATTTGAGTCTCGCTCCGTAGACACCCAAGAAACGGGCAGAATTCAAGGCTGAAAGGGGGGTAAATGAAGAGGATAGTAGTTGATACGGCCAGACAGAGGAAGTTGAAGAGAGGAGAATGGAGGGAAGAAAGGCAAGAAAGGCAGATAATGTTAAGGTCGTCTGCGATGATGATACAACATTGGTATTTGAACATCCGTTTCAAACTGGAGTTTGGTCCGAGTGGGCACCTTTGAAGTTGGGCTGGCCAACGGGAGCAGCGTGCCTTTTCCTTCAATGTCACGGCGGTAATGCACGCAGCACCAGCGGCAAATGAAATTTGCAAGGTCAGAAATTCGAAGGGGGTCATGTATGGAGTATAATACCTTCTAGTGACCGGCCTACCGGGCTGGATGGAGCAGAGAAGCTCCAGCGAAGGAGACAAAACAGCAGAACCAGGAATAAATAACTAACATTTATATTTATCATTTGAAGCACTGATCGCAATAATAATCATTCTAGTTGTTCTTAAAGGCCATATTATTCATCCACTCGTCAGCATTTCCTTTTTTCCATCCCCCTTTCCCTCGTTTTTCTATTTTCTTCAAAAAGAAACCCCCTCCTTTTTTCCCTTGCCTTGTTTGACCATCATCTGCGAAATCTACTTGCCGCTCGTCAGATTACATGTGGTGGTTATTGCAGTACGGCAGAACGTAAAATTACCAGATACATACAAGACAAGGGCCTTTCTTCCCCAAAGTCAAAAGCAGCCCGGAAGGAATCATAACATCCAAACAGAATCTAATCAGACAACAAACCACACAACCAGCCGTTCAAGGCAACTGGAAATTGTCTGTTCTCCCCACCATTAATCCGATATTCTTTTGATATTCCTTCAATGGGGACTTATCAACTCACTTAACCTAATTCTCTGGACTCGAGAACCGCGCCGTTGCCACAGCCCGCGCGGGATAGTAGGTAATCGTCGACCAGTTTGTATGGATCGGCCAGGATGTTAATTTAATCGGAGGGTCTTTAAAAGTAAGCAAGCGTAATCGCATGAATCATTTAATATCAGCTTGAAGGGCGTCATCTATCAAATCGCTTAGTGAGGTGCAAGCGGTATGACACACCCAAAGTCATGCTCACTCACTGAAGCTTCTGTGAGCCTTCTACGCCGTCCTTAACGATACTATAACCTACCTTCCCGTTTGGGATTTCCCTACGAAAGTTTAATCCGCCTTATGTCTTCAGACCATGCTTATGCGTGTCCCGTATCGACCTCTCCACCTTGCATACTGCCATGCAGGCGGAATTCCGTAAGGCAAGTGCCTCAAGAGGAAAACAATTCGCCCGCCTAGGAGGAGAAGAGGGGGTGTGGGATTATGTGTGTGGATTTTGGTGATACCCCATATATCTCGATATCCATCGTCACCCGGGTTAATTAAAGGTGAAGCTGGTCAATCCTCAGAGTGATGAGTGTACAGTACTATTGACGGCAGAAAGAGGGGACACGCATTGGATATCAAAGACCAAGTAGTCCCCACGTGTCCGGGTTTCTTTTCTTATGACTTTCCCCCCTCTTTCATTTCCCCATCCGCAAGGCGGCAAATAAACAACACAAGATGGATTATGACTGAAATCCGAGCAGGCATCTTATGTACCACAAAGGGTATCTTGTTCGACCTGGGGCTACAGAAATGGTGTATTAGGAAGCTTGGATCCAACAGACCGAACCGAGTCAGGGAACTGCAGGTGGAAAGCGGCCAGGACTTATTCCAAGATGCAGAGCGGTGAGGCCTAGGGCTAACCGGATTGGTCCTGACAGTGCAAGGACGACTGGGGACGGTTAGATTGGAATGAGGCAGTGCTGGTAGTTCAACTTTTAGTGCCATGTTGATTCTTCGGCACTCTGCTCAACTTGTGTTCCACTAGATACCAGCCATTACCTCTGACAACGTCTCATAGGCTCGTCTTCTTTCCCCCCTTCTCCAGTCGGTGCTCCATTACTACTATTACTTACACCATTGGGCTGTGGTGAGAAAGCAAAGGTAAAAAACAAGGTTTTTGTCCGTCATCAGATAATGAGGGCGCGAAGATTCCAGGACACAATAATCAATCAAAGTGACAGGTTAAATCGGTTAGAGGGGCCCGTTCTCCACGGTGGTGACTGTGGTGACTCTTAGGCGAATGCCCCCCATTCAATTGTAAGCAACATTTCTCAATTTCAGTCCAAGGCGACCAAGTTCTTGTCAGGTACCTCTCATCGGCTTAGCGCTCATCCAGAAGTTCCGGTGATACTACGTAGTATGCTCCCAGCTACTAGTAGGTATTGCGTCGAGTGACTGCGGGTCATACTAGATACATACAGTGAGTGGTACACTCTCATTCTGAAGAACTGAACGTTTCAAAGGAATTTGATAGGGGAGCATAGAATACGGAAAACACTGGGGCTAGCTAGCCCAATCTCAAGTATATTATCAAAATCATTATTTTATGTCTGCTTTTTTTTACTTACTCTTCTGGGTGTACCTTCAGCCCGGTACACAGTAACTAACATGTAGAAGTTGCCAAAAGAGTGGTATGCAGCAAGTGTGGTTGCTTTGCTTTGCCCAACATTTTCTCCGTCGCCTTACCCGCGCGCGTCCATTTTTCGACAAATACAGGGACAGCATCATTTTTAAGTTTTACGAAAATTACCGCCACCTTTTGTGCTTTTCCTTTTCATCATCATCCTGCTCCTTCATCGTCATCATCAACATGGTTATGATCATATTCACACAATTACCTCCCCAATTCAGGGATAATTCCAGAAAAGAGGTCTTCATCTATCCAAGGTAGGCAATAACTCAGCAGAGGCAGGGGCCCTAAAGCCGACCAGGCCGGAGTAGGGTACCGAGTGCATCCTAGGCCCCAAGTGTACTTTACCAACCGACTCCAACTTTCCATGGCGCCCCACCGTGAGTTGTTGCGGAAGACCGTCACAACGATTATTAGTGGCCCTGTTGGGCTTGACCCACTGCCAATCATGGTCTAGCGGGGCCCACTTCTGGCCTTAGATACATGCACTGCCACATTGCTGTCATTTGGCATTTCCCCCCCGTCGCACCTTGCGATCCGAGGAACTCCCTGGAAACACTGGCATAAGGGGATGTGTGCAGGAAAAGAAGGGGGGAAGGGCGGGCCATGAATTCTAGGTACTCAATTTTTCAATAATTTCATTTTCAAAGGGCTGAAAATTAAGCGAACAGTGCTTGCTCGTGAAATTCAACATTAGAGGGGTGGGTGGGTGACTATCTATAGCTGATAAGTAGATAACGCTCTACGGTGAAGAATAGCAACAAGTAAGAGACACAATGCCAAATACTTTGTAGTAATAGAGAAAAAGAAGAGAAAAAATACTCCATAAACTGGCCTAGGCAAAAGAGAGACATGAAAATTCTGATCATAACTGCGGAGTAAGCCAAAATGTCTCTTCATTGATCTTGTTTCTGCTCTCCTGTGGATCATCAGTTGATTGTCCCTTCCCTCTCTGATCCAACTTTCCCTGCTCGCTCTTTTGGTTTCTATCTGTCTCTCTCTCAGACTTCCAGCCAGCTGGCCAGCCAGCAAAAGTCGGCCCTCGTCTCGTGTCCAGTCCCATACCAAGTAAAGTAAGTAACCCATAACCCGGACTTAACGGATCGGATGTAACAAGCGAACTTCTATCCGTCCTCCGTCAGTTTGAGGTACCAGGAAAAGGGATCAGGAGTAAACTGTAAAGAATGAATGGTAATTATAATAATAACGAATAAAATAGAATTAATAGGAAGGGGGGATACAGATCTGCGTACAAGGCAACTTTTTGCAAACAATAAACACTCTAGTCTACTATCCGACTCTGGTCTGGCTGTACTTTCACGAAAATGAAAGTTATTTAATTCGTATTGTCAACAAGACAAACTAAACAACCCCCATTTTTGCCACAATCAGCCTGAATTCCTCCTGCGTGGACCATATTTCACGAACCTATTGTGTAAAAATGCAATCAATCATTGCGCAACACCACCACCACACACACACACACACACACACAGCATCATCTGCGGTATTAATGACAATCCACCACTCAATCTCTATGGCCAAGAAATGGGGCTGGGAGGGGGGAGACTCAATAAAACTTCTTTTCCCTCTATAGTTCTAGTATTAGTTTTACTGCTAAACTGCTATAGATACAAATTTTTCTGGGACGAATCTTACACGCCCACCGACAAAACCCAACCGTCGCACAGACTGAACACGCACTCATGCATCCACAGCTTAGTTAATTAGTTAGTTAGTAGTTACCCAGGTGGTTGTAGTGGTGGCAATTCGGGGGAACTACACCGTTTGTGTGTGGTGGCACTTCGGTTTTACCTCACAGGAAGTTACTAGTAGTACTCCGTAACTATTCATCTATCTGGTAAGTAGGTCCTTCAAGAAATTCCAATTATCGGACTTTATTGGCCCGATTTGTGCAGGGCATCAACACCATGGGACAACTAGCATGAGCATACATGGCCAATGAGACCCCCGGTCGCTTGTGTCCTATCCGCCTAGCTACCTACACTACTATACTAATTTAACTCCATGGATTCTTAGTGCAGCAGGGGTGGGACATCAGATAACCATGTCCTTGATAAGTTACTATACTACTCCAAAAAAAAAAAAGTAGGTCAAAAATGCGCTGGTTTGGATGGTTCGTCCGGTGCATTGTCACCCCATACTGTAAGAGGCAGGTATAACAGGTTGAAAAGAAAAAGAAGGATAAGGCAACCCACGCAAGCAAGGAAAAGAATGTAAGAAGGAGTAGTAGCAGTAATAATTGTCCGAGGAGAAAGGTCGGGTTAGGCTTAGCATCTCTCGTACAAAAAAGCGCCGTCAGCCTTAAGCCTTAAGGGGCTGCAGGCTAAATCTCGTGCACAGGCCGTGTCTTGAATTAGTGATCGATAGTTGATAGGTATCATGATAGTTTCCGACCCTGCAAAGCAACCATCACCTACCGCACCTATTTCTGGTCATATCAAATGATTTGCTCGTATTTGGCATGCTTCAGTCAATCCATTTAATTGTAAGGCTGCATATGTGGACTAGAAGCCAAGTCATCAGACAGTCCACAACCCACCCTGCAATATGGTTACCCTGCGGGCTTCTGGGTAAGTATGGGTGGTTGGTTACACTGCCATGATAAGATAGCCCTTGTTTTCCTGCAGGTGGGTAGCAAGTTGTTTCTAAATGCGGTTCATGCTTGCTTCTTCTTGTCCAAGTTTTATCGACTTCTTGATTGGTCACGGGAGACTGAATCAAGCATTATCTACCTAGCAATTACCTCTTGCATGCGCAGTGGACCAAGAAACCTGGTTGTTTCTTGGCCCTGTCAGCGATTAACGCTTGCCTGGGTCGTACCTATGCAGTACCATTCTCGGCGACTGAAACTGGTTGGCAGCCAATAAATGCCAGCAATGGAGTGATTATTGCTGGATGGATGGATGGAACACGTACTCGATACGTACTACAGGTAGGACTCTGCTTTAGCCAGGCAAACCACGTCTCACCGAATATGATACAATCAGGCGCTAGAGGATTCACTCGCCGAACTATACCTGCGCATAGACCATATAATTGGATTGCACACTCTTGACCATGATACCACTAGCATTCATCTCAGCCGGACTATAGTGCAATTTCCATTCCAAACCAGCTCTCGAAGCCTTGGCAGCAAACAAGGCCTAAGCGATGAGCTAGATCGACGACCGGAACCGGCGACTTCTAGCTGCTTGGGTAGGCACTAGACTAGTATTACGAGCACTGGCATCTGAGCCTGACTGACCGAGGACTAACTAACTATCTACCGGGGACTGTTTTGGCCTCCTCGGCTCTGAATGTGACGGATCAAACGACTATTGATTTGGTCGAGATCGTCTCGATAGTTGCAGTAGTACGACAAGGCCTTCCCTGGTTTCCTATCAAAAATTGCCGCTTCAATTAATCAGACTGATACGCCAACGGCGTCAGGCCAATATTGCTCCGGACATATCACGCCCTCTGAGCCAGCGCCCCTTGTGCCACCAGGGGCCTAGATGAGGATCACGCTGGTAGCGGGAGGGACCCGGGGATCCAGGAGCTGGATGCGCTGGCTAATGGGGAGCCAATTGCATGTCACACATCTTGTAGACTTGCGGGATGAATGAGGGGTAATGAAGTGATTAGAGAAACCAAGGGGGCTGTGCAGCGTGTAATTCACTCCTCTAAAAAGAATTATTGCCAATGATCGTATAGAGGAAGAGAGTAATACGCTGGGCCGAGTCCGTGCTACATGCCAAAGCCGGCCGAAGGAATGACCGTTAGTTATGCGGGGTCTGTCTTAATGCCTTAGGTGTCAAATACCTGCTGCTGTTATGTTACCCTTACCCTTGCCCTACACCCTAAGTTTCTTCTTTCACGCCGCCATTGCAGGATTGCCTCCAGCCAATCAGATGCCGCTCCAATTTCTTGGCGCCATATCGAATGTTCAGGTCCGATCTTGGCTATCATTCATGGCCACTCTGCCTCTTATCATCGTCATATTCTTTCGCATCGTCGACCCGATCTAGAGCCATCATTATTTATCTAGATCGCTGTTTCGATAGATTGTCAACATGGCGATGAATCAGATCCCTGGACAGAATATCTATGTTGGAGGGTTGGTTACCTTGTCTCTCACTTTCTGTTACCATACTAAGCCTTCCTTTGGCCCGTCATATGATGGGCCCAGGGTCCAAGAGGGGTTATAGTGCTCTGCTCTCAGGAAGCTTGCTAACACCGAGTTGAACGTAGCATACTGGCACTCAAGAACAAGGCAGCCTTGACTCGAGCAAACATTACACATGTTGTTTCCGTGTTACGCCTCCAACCAGCTGATGATATCTTCGAGTCTTTTCAACACCATTGTATAGAGGTCGACGATGTCGACGATGAGAACTTACTAGAACATTTCCCAGCTGCTGTAAAGTTCATCCAGTCCGGTCTTGATGCCGGCGGAGGAGTGCTTGTACATTGGTTAGTTTAGTCCTCCCTCGTTTATCTGCTCTTAGGATATCTCCACATGTTTCCTTGGTAAGACCTGCTCCCAGGTCTTTACCCAGGACTAGTACCCTACCCCTTCCTATTACTTTAGTCCCTGTGCTTTTATGATGCCTGCTGAAGCCGTGCTTTAACATCACGTGATTCATGGTGTTCACTTGACCTTGTGTAACAAGGATGTTCGATTGCGCTTTTAGAATGACAAGCGTGCTGACTGTTAATAGTGCGATGGGAAAATCCCGATCAGCCACTGTTTGTATCGCGTATCTGCTCAACCGTCAGCCTAGCGCACTGACACCAGAGTCCGCTCTTGACATCATCAGACAGAACCGACCGCTATGTGAGCCAAATCCTGGATTCATGGAGCAGCTCTCCGTCTACCATCAGATGGGGTGTCCAGATGATGTTACCAGCCACCCCCTCTACAGCCGGTGGCTTTACCGCCGCGAGGTGGAGGAGAGTGTAGCATGTGGTCGAGCACCCGAAATGAAGTCCGTGCTGTTTGAAGATGAGCAGCCGCGCCAATCACAGGAGCCTGCGGGTCGTATGACAGAGATCAAATGTCGCAAATGCCGGTTAGTCTTAATTACGATCCTTTTAAAGCTTATCTATGAGCTCCTCCTGATCACATCACCAGGCGTAAGTTGGCGACCACGCAATTCATCATCCCCCATACCACTCAAAAGAACGCCGGAGCAAGCACAGCTGATTGTGCTCATGTCTTCTTGCACCCACTGACATGGATGCGCCCGTCGCTCTTTCCTGGCACCGATGGAGAAACCTCCAGCTCGCCTTATGGAGCGCCGCCAGAAGACGCCCCTTTGTCTGGCCGTCTGACCTGCCCCAACTCGTCCTGCGGAGCCAACATTGGCAAATTTGCCTGGCAAGGTATGCAATGTAGCTGCGGCGAGTGGGTTGTCCCTGCGATTGGCCTTGCAAAGGCCAGAGTGGACATTTCCGAGAGGGTCAACATTACCCGCGGACCAGGCAACTTGCCCGCTGCGATGGGCATTCGTCTGCCGCCTGGAATGCGGACTAATCCCACGGATGAGAGCAACGGACGCGGAAACCTTTAGACTTTGGTAGCGCTACCTAACGTTGACTTCGCCAGGGGTAGATCACGGCGCAGCAAGGCTCCGTCAGAAGTCTAAGCATGCTCGTTGATAGGCTCCCTTAGCCACGTCTCTAAATGACGAACCAGCGGGTTGCAGAGCCAAATTACGTCACGTGGCATTAGAAGCGGCGCCATCTGATTTCAAAGTTTAGGAAAACGATAGTTGAACTGAAAACAGACAAAGATGGTCCGTGAAAAGATGGGCCACGCACGCAAGTGTGGCGTTCAGAGCTTCTGCTATGGTATGCGGAGGCTGGCGGAATAGCCCGAATCCGTACACTATTGGGGGCACAAAAGGAAGGACACAACGCAGCTATGCACAATACAGACTCGGGTCTAGACTAGATTTGGGTATGGTCTGCGCTCGACAGGTTTCAGACCCTGATGCCGATCATCCCGCGACAAGTTGGAACAGAGAGCAAGGTCGAGATAGACATACAGTTTACTACTACCGGTCCAGCAAGCAAGAACCCAGCCAATGAGAGCAAATGCACCACACTAGCTTCAGCTATCCCAACTCAAGCCTCGGCGGCTACAAGCCAGATGATCTTATCAAATCAGTTAGCCTAAAAGGACTGATTGGATTCAGCTCGTGTCGGGTGGGAAAGAAGGAAGGGAATGGGAGGGGGGAAATTGTAGAACTTCTAAGCGCTAGGACCTGTCAGGATCCAGGGCATAACCCCACCGACCCCACGAGGCTGTTTTAAGGCAGCCCCACGGGCCCCAGCTAGCAGCACCCAATCAGGCGGTGACGTAAGACCCGGGATCTGCGAAGCCAGAAGGGCAGATCGGGGAGAAAAATCAGAGTTCTCGGGGCCTGGCACAAGTTCCTGGGCCTCCCCGATGACTAATGATTCCCGGCGCGCGCGACAACTGTAACTTGCCAAGCCTGCTGCTGCTTTTCTGCTCATCCGGGCTAGGTTGGGGAGGGGGGGGGGGAAGAGAAGGGTGGGTAGAACTAGCGAAGGTCTAGGCTGCTTCACTAGCGCCGGCACGGGGGCTGTGCAAACTGCTCTTACGCAACTGGGGCGCGCTAGCCATGGATGAGCTGATCCCGGGCTGGTACAATACCGTATTTTGAAGATTACCTTTCTTTCCGGTATTGTTGTGGTGCAATGGGATTCAGTGTATTTTTCATTTCATCTGTATTAATGCCTTGTATATACCATAGGATGGAGTGGTATAATATAATGAAGTGGCAATCCTGCATTCATCATCATCATCATCATAAGTCCTTACTTACCTGCCTAAACAAGTAGTTTAGTAACTACCAACTACTCCCGGATAATCGGTCTCTCTCTCACCCCATACCACGAGATTCTTACTCTCCCATCTACGAAGTTACTATCAAACACCTCTCAAACACATTCCCCCTCAGCAATATAGCACTATACTCTACTCTAACCTCCTACCCTAATAAAAACAACAGTACTTTTATCTACCACCACTACCTAAAGTATTCTAGTCTCCGCCCTACATGACGTCAATCTCATCTCACGATCATCACAAGTAACATAAATACTATTCAGTAGAGACACAGTATAAGATGTAGTCGTTAATCTTGGCGTTATTTTTACATATACACATCATCATCATTATCATCCCACCAACCAAACCAATCCCATAAAACCAGAACAAATAATAATAAAGAGAGGTACAACGATACGGATAAATCTAACCCGCCCTACAGGGCAAAAAACCACTATTCATTCTATCTATATCGCGGGCTGAAAAATGGGGTTTGGGGGGGGGTCGGGGCGGGGGGACAGCTAGTTAACTAGTTGATTAATTAATTAGGACAGGGAAAACCTAACCGAGTCACTCACCTCACCCCCTTTACTATGGGTGTACTATATTCTGTATATAGCTGAGTGCATTAAGAACATGAGCCAATATTGGCACGGAGAGAAAGAGAGCGAGAGAGAGAGAGAGGGGCTAAGAGTTAGTCCTGGATGATTGGGATTGGGTGATACTAATTTGCACTGCCTCGTTTGGGGATCCACTGCTTTGCATGAGGAGTTTCCCTTTTCTTTCTAACTAACTATCTTTTTTCTTTAGGGGAGTATTATTGCTCTGTAGGGGAGAGTGGTCAGGAGGAAAATGAGGGGTGAGTTATTTATCTGCCTAATATGTGTATTACAGAGTTGTTGATGGGTTAGATGGATGGATACATTGTCTAGTTCTCTAGTATATTGTATGTTGTATTCATCTAATACGTATGCATCACATCGATGCTTAATTTCATCGCTTATGGAGCATAGTGCATGTGACGGGTTTCTGGGCATGGTCCGCGCGTTTTCTATTTCTCTGACATTCTTTCTTTGGGGGGCGCTTATTTTTTGGGTTTGTTGTAGGAGGGAGTCGGTACGATGATTCTTCAATACGAGCAGTACAGTTCGCTTTCTGATTAACACACAACACGGTCATCTGGTTATGTCTTCTGAGTACTACAAGCTCCGATCGGGTTGCTGGATCAGGCTGCAAACCCCTGGTTGTAGCCTTGTAGGATTTGACATCGCGTAAGGCTGTCAGACGCCCTGCGTTCTCGGCTCCGTTAGGCAGGCAGTTCGCTTCTAGAAGCTATGGTACTTCCGGGATCCGTTAAGGCTGTGCAAAGTGTCTCTTAAGGCTTCCGTGTCTTGCCGGAAATGTGAGACAGTATAAGCTGCTTCCGGTGAGCCGCGTAATGATGGCTATTCTAGCGAGGGCGGCCATGAGTCTCTGAGTGACGGATATGTCGGTGGAGAGCTGAGCGATCGTCGCTTGAGCTGGTAGTAGTGTAGTACCTAGGCAGAGCACTGAAGCTGGTGTAGCAGATGTAAGAACAGTCTCGGCATTGAAGTATTGACTTGGTCGTGACATGTGGCGTGTCGCCTTGCAAAGCGCGGTGACAGTGTCTCACGCTCGAGCAGATGTACTCGCGTCGCGAGCCCGTATCCGATACACCGACTGTCCAGCAACTGCTGATGTCTGACTCTGGACTCCTCATCAGCCAGACAATCATCAGGCGATCATATCCAACAAGCTCGATACAATCACAGTGAGCACCGAAGGATCCAGCCACAAGCTAGACATACCAGGCGACCCAGAAAGTGAACTGTAGGCGCCCGTCCACGTCGTCAGCAGTCCAGCATCCATCCACAAGAACCTCATCATCCTGCAGCTCCAGACTCAAGCTTACAGCCCCCCAGTCGGGACAGACGGGAACAGAGAAGGATCCTGCAAACGCTGACGATTCCTTCTAGCCATCTCAGCATTGCGCATCCTGTCGATACGCATCTGGTAGAAGTTCCTACATGGATTAGCAATGATCACACATAACCTCATACAAGAGCAGAGAGAAATACTTATGCAACGCAAATACCCTCGGCGAGTCATCCGACGAAGTGGTCGATGATTTCTTGATACTCTCAATCTATATTGTGTTAGCAATTACAGTTAAAGACAAACAAGAACATAGAAGATAGAGATATGAAGAGAAGAACGAACCTTGTCATCCCGTTCCTTTTGCATTTTCTTATCCTCCTCATCCCCCTTCTTCGTAGCAGACTTATCATCTTTATCTTTATCATCTTCCTTCTTGTCGTCCTTCTCTTTCTCAGCATCCTTTTTCTTCTTCCGCTGCTGCTTCTCCTCATACTCCTTCTTCACCCTCTCAATTTCCCTCGCCATAGCCTCTTCTTTGGCTTTGGCGGCTGCCGCTTCTGTATCGACAATAGGAGAACAGAAGTGGCGGTCTTGGAGGTGAGAGGGGCAGACGTAGAAGAAGTCCTGATGCATACTTAGCCGGTGTCCAGACAAGAAAACTCATTGTATCAAGTAGTAAACTATGATCATATATCTCAAAAAGGGAAACATGGAGATTGGAGGGGAGTGAAAGGGGCCCCATACCCGATTATCAGGCGTGATTAATACACTACTCGATGGCTTGTAGCAAATGTAACATGCTTTGGCGGCTGTATCTGCTACTCGGCGCAGATGCCAGATGTTTTGGAGGGACATTGACATGGTGTCTATTCTATGTATAGTTGGGTTTGGGAGTGTTTGTTGAGGAAGTAGTGAGGGATTGTTGACAAGATCGAATATTGTTGTGTTTTGGTTTGGTTTGGTTTGGCGGGGAATTGATCGATGATGTCATGTGACATGGGTATAGGCTGAATACTAATAGATGGACATTGGTTCAATATAGACGATACTGTTGTGTAGCAGGGTTGTAGCTGAAATATATTGTTGTAATATAGTAGTTATATTGACACACAAGTATAGGATGTCTGAATACGTAAAGGATCACATCGAACATTAGTGTTGACCGGAATATGTTGACATGACAACTTATATATCTCTACTATGATACAGAACGAACCAACTGCAAAACAACTGAAAGTCTACACTATCCACCCAAACTCCATAGTAGTAGTAGTAGTAGTAGTAGTAGTAGTAGTAGTAGTATCTACTCCGTAACACTATCCTTCAATCCTCTCAACGCACTCGGCTCCTTCGACCCATGCAACATAGCCGCCGCATTCTCCGACCGTCTCCTAGCATCTGTCCAGATCATAAACTCATTATAACTCTTGGGCATGACCTGCACATCCTTCTCCACGAGGAAGGTATAATTAAACATGCCCGTGGGCTTCTTAGTTCCATGCTCCACATCTCTCACCTTCGTGTCCACCCGCACCCGCACCTTCGTGTACTTGCTCTCCACGCCCTCGCGTTCCAGCGGCTCCGTGTACGCCACCGTGGCGCGCAGATACAGCACGCTGCCCACAGGCACAGAGTTCTCGAACGTGCTAGGGTCCAGGGAGATGAAGTTGGGGCGAGAATGCGAGAAGGACGCGGCGCAGCAGAAGGCAAGCTCAAAGGTCTGTTTGAGAAGGAAGCCACCGAAGATCATGAAGTTGTGGCGGTTGCGGTCTTGGGGTTGCATGATCATGGCGGATTTGAGCACGGTGTCGCTCATGAAGACGTTGTTGGAGGGCCGTTGGGCGGGGTTTTCGGGGTCTGTTGTTCGGTTATTGATGAGTTATATCTTGGATTGGTGGGAAGGACACTTACTGAGGTAGGACATCTCCTTTGTCCACATGGAGTGAATGAGGTTACTTTCTTCCGCATCGGGGGCTGTCTCGAGAAGACTCTTGGATCGTAGTGCTTTCTTAGCTTGGTAGTTCTCTTCGCCTTGCTTGAAGAGGAGACGCTCTTCGGCTGTTTCGACCACTAGGGGGGCGATGTTGACGGGCCTGGGGGGAGAACATCAGCATGTAGATGTAGAAGGTAGGGTGGCATAGGTTTACTTCTTCGTCGCAGGATCCAACGACACCATCGTAAACGCACAGGTGATGAGCACATCTTCCGGCTCAACCTCCTTTCCCGGAGCAGGAGCCTTGGCCACCTGAATGGAGATCTCCATACTAGAGCGACCCGTCGCATATGTGACCTGACCGCTGAGTTCGAGGTCACAGATCTCCATCAGCGGATGCTCAATGGTAATGCGATCCACGGCCGCCGTGACCGTAGTGACCGAGTCACCAGCATGTCTGTAGGCAATGACACCCGCCAGCGCATCGAGGTCCATAAGCAGGGACCCCAATCTGCAGCCATCAGTAAATCATCGCCGCCAAAAACAGATATCAGAGGCACTCACCTGATATGTCCCGAAGCATTAAGATACGTATCAAGCAGCCACTTATCCTGAGCCAGAGGCAGAACCTAGACTCAAACACATCAATCAGCTAAATCCACACCCCTCAAAGGCCAGCAAGTGCACCTACGGCGCTATAATAACTATCCGACATCTTCTTCGGCGTCAGATCAGGTTTCGCCGAGGGCGCAGCAGCAGCCCCCTGACTAGACTTTGCAGTCTCGCGGCTTTTCGTGAGTGCTTCAATCCAAGGAGTCTTGACTCTCATAGGCATCCAGGTAGGTCGGAATGCGGCATTGTGTTGACTGGGGTGAAAGTCGCGGGCTGAGAGCAGAGATCGGTGTGCAGGTGAGCGGACACTGCTACTTAAGCTGGTCGGGGTGTTGGTAAGACATTTGGAGCGCGACGCGGCGGAGCGTCTTGTACTTAAGCCGAACATGGTGAATCCAGTTCTCTTCTGTCTATCCGAATGAATAGATTTCAGGATATAGTGTACAGTTGCAAAAGTGAAAGAAGAGACAAGTATGGATCAAAGATGATGTGTCGAACACGAAGATGAACTTTCGGCTTCGGTAGTTGAAGCGGATCTCCCGACGGCTGTTCCGGCTCCGGCTTCAATGGCCGGAGCAAGTCGGTAACGCGAGAAAGTATATTTCCCTGAACTGACATGTCGGGTTCGGTATGGAATAAGTAAGCCATTGAGTTATATTTACATGTTAAACATATGAACTGGAGGTAGGGTGATTCTTCATCCCCGTGAAAAGATATAAGGGTGAAATGAAGTAGAAAATGAATCGTGATGATCCCGACTACTGTGCAATGACATCATCGCCGCTGCTCTCCTCCGATATCGACCATCTCATGCACTAAAAGGGGCCATTAACAGGAGCAACTATGCACCCCCGTGAAGAGGGAGCTACTCTGTACCTGAGCTCCGGTGTGACCAAGAGAGGGACCGCGAGTCAGGCAGAAGTTGATCTTCAGGCCAGTTTGCTGGGTGGCCTCAGGAACCAACTTGGTTTCTCTCGCCCGAGAGCTGCGTCAAGGTGAAGTCATTCCAAGTATAAATTGGTTCTTTTTACTTTGTATGTATGTTGTGGTTTTCTTTTTTCGTAGTATCTCATTGTAAAATATCTTTTGCATATTTTTGCAATTCGTCTTATATCAGAATAGAATCTCCATATAGATAACATCTGTCTATACTTGATTTGTCTGTATACAACTGCAAGAAACATTGTTTCTGTACTGCAACCATGAGTGACCCAACCAACCCCAACATTGAGAAGCGAACAACCCCCCAATGGGCTCTGTATCAGCGTGAGAATTTCTGGAAAGTAAACGATGGCCAAACAGTACCATTCAACACAGGTACACAACACTTCCACATCCCTACTCCATCCCACCTTGCTTGCTCGCTGACAAGACTATCTGTGCAACAGACCCCAGAAAGCTCGAAGAGGAGGCGCACAAGAAGCTAAGCCAAGGGGGCTGGTATGCACCTAACCCCCCTCCAATAGACAAAAACCCGACCCATTAACCCATCCAGGTTCTATGCCTCCTCCAACGCAGGCATGTCCAACACCCACCTCGCCAACCGGCAAGCCTTCTTCCGTCATCGGATCATCCCCAACCAACTAGTGGACACCAACCAGCGAGACACCACCACCGAGATCTTCGGCCACAAAGTATCCGCCCCAATCGGCTTCGCACCCATCGGGATCAACAAGATCTACCACCCATCCGCCGAGCTCGCAGTAGCCAAAGTGGCCGGCGAACTCAACCTCCCCTACTGTCTTTCCACAGCAGGGAGCACTCCCATCGAGAAAGTCGGCGAAGCCAACGGCCAAGGCAGCCCCCGTTTCTTCCAGCTATACATGCCACATGATGACGAGCTGACCTTGTCCCTGCTCAACCGGGCCTGGAAGTCCGGATTCGATGCGCTGATTCTCACAACTGATACCTGGCAATTGGGCTGGCGGCATGACGACGTCGCCAACTCCAATTATGCCTTTTACCGCGGCATCGGGGCGGACCTTGGCTTGACGGATCCGGTGTTCCAGAAACGGTGTCGCGAGGCGGGCATTGACCCGGAAAAGGATGTGGTGGCTGCGTCGGCCAAGTGGATTGATTCCGTTTGGCATGGGCGTGCTTGGTCGTGGGAGAAGATCCCCTGGTTGATCGAACAGTGGAAGAAGATTTCTGGGGGTCGGCCGTTCGCTATCAAGGGGATCCAGTCTGTAGCGGATGCGAAGAAGTGCGTTGAGTATGGGGTTGATGGTATTGTGGTGAGCAATCATGCAGGTAGACAGGTGGACGGTGCCATTGCCAGTCTTGATGCGTTGGAGAATATCGCCAATGCGGTCGGTGATCAGATTTACATCATGTTTGATTCTGGTGTTCGTGGAGGCAGTGATGTCGCTAAGGCGCTGGCTCTGGGAGCTCGCTTTGTTTTCGTCGGCCGGCTCTGGATCTGGGGCCTCAGTATTATGGGTGAGGAGGGTGTTCGTCATGTGATGAAGTCGCTGTTGGCTGATTTCGATATCTTGATGGCTGTTGGAGGATACAACAGCGTTAAGGACTTTGATAAGTCCATACTAGGTAAGGTGATCAGGATGATTTCTTGGGATGAAAGCTAATTGTCATGTCAGAATCGTACCCGAAGTCATACACACTCATCCCGGACAAGGTTCTTTAAAATTCCCGATAGTGGATGGCGGATGCAATGTTTTATACCATTTCGATTAGATAGGGGTTATCGCGAGCAAGCACTGGTGAAGTAAGAATGAAAGTTGATTGATTAGAGAAGGACTTCGAATGTAAGATAATATGATCCGCACGCCGTCCAGGCTCTAAGAAAATATGCAGATAGAAATCAGCAGCAGTTGTAAATGATGCACACGTTGCCTGAGCTTCAGACGCCGAGTGGACGCGAAAGCCTTTCCCCAAAGCTGATTACAGCCAAAGCATGAGAGAAGCAATCGCCAAAGCAGAGAAGAAATACTGAGGAGCGGGCATGGCCATTCCACTTCCCGATTCAGCATCAGAAGAACTACTGGAGCTAGCAGAGCTCGTTGTAGTCGTTGAGCTGCCCGTTGTAGTGGATCCCGAGGTACTGCTTGTTCCAGAGCTCGTAGAGTTCGACGTAGAGCTGCTGTTCGAGGATCTCTCTGCAAATCCGACCCGTAACTCATCGTAGTCAAACACGGCATACACATTCTTGAGGAAGGTGTCGCCCAGGAGCCAAATGTCATCACCGAATAGGTCATAGCTGATAATGTTCGAAACGCATCCAGAACCTGAAGTTGCTCCCACGTAGTCCTTTGGCGAGATGGTGTAATTCACACCGGAGAATTGCACTTGTAGCTTAGCAGTCGTGTTGCACGGAATAATGTGGTAGCTCCCAGAAGAAGTGGCGTCGGGAATCAGACTGTGCAGCGTCTTCGAGTCGCTCGAAGGAAGCATAGCGTAAGACGTGCCGGTATCGATGATGGCAGACTTGTTGGAGAAATCGCATGAAGTGCCGCTAACATATACATCGTCCACAGGAATTCGCCAATAGCTGTCCGATCCGACGGTGTCGGTGTAGGTGATATCGCCAGTGTACTTGTCCTTGTCAGTAGTGCCAAAGCTGACGGTACCGTCCTTGGCCGGGCTACGCGAAAGGGCAAATCCGACAATGTTCGACTTGAAGACGTTAGTTTCTGCAACAGCATCCATGAAGGTTGGGTTGTTGTAGGAACTATCATTAGTCCGACCGAGACCGAGAATGCCGTCCATAGGGTACGACTCGAAGTTATCCGATGCGTTGGAAGCAAGCCCGAAAGTCATTTGTACAGTTACATTCGCAATCGTGAGCTTGTCTTTGCCGAGCAAGCCGCTGACAGACCCGGTTCCGTAGCCCACACTCCACTCTTCAGATGTCATTTCAAGGGTCGAGGAATCGTCCGATCCGAAGGTGTTATGCATCGTGCAGGGTGTGGACGTGCAGTTGGTACCGAAAACCCAAGTATCAGAGCCTCCTGTGTCGAGCAACATGTACATAGATTTCTCATCGGTTCCAATATTGACAACAGAGATGTATGAGATGTCGCTACCATCTTGATCGAGAGCGGCGGTGTTGGACCAGGAGGGAGTTTCGGCTACCACAATCTTGAAATCATTGTCACGGCGAACGGGAACCCTTTTGATGTTCAGCGACAGGGACTCATCGCTGGAGGAAGAAGTGGAGCCGTCTGTCAGAGCATCGCTCGGTTTTGGCACGGGCAGAAAACGGCGAGATAATGAATCACGAGTTGAAATGTCATCCGACGTATCAAGTTCGATGGTGTATGGAATGAAAGCCGTGGCACTGGCGCAAAGATATGCTGCTGTAACGAGACGCTGTGGGAGATGCATACTTTAGAACAATCAAGAAACAGATGCAAGCGAGGAATGTATCGCAATTGTCTGACGCAGACGATGAGGTGCCGGATGCTCCTATTTCAGCCAAATCAGGTGATACAAATGTATGATGATAGAGTAGAATTTGGTTTTAGACAGATTGAGAGTAAAATTTCATAGATGGAGTCAATGGCAGAATGACACAATCAAAGACAATGCTCTAGAAATATCAACGATAGATTGCTAGTGAAAAAGACACAAGTCAAGATTGAAGAAATGATCGAAAGATAAGGTGCTAAAAAACGAATGCTTAACAAAGAGAGTGAATAGGAAGAAACGAGGCGAGTAAAAAAAAGAAGTAATCAGAAAAGGTTATTTGTAAATGTCGAGACAAAGAAGAAAATCAAGAGAATGAACACGGAAATGAAGGAAGAAGGAAAAAAGAAATAGCACGTAAGTGCTGTTCATGCAGTTAAGAATCAAGATGCAGCCTCCAGGAGAATTCACACTCAGGCACAGAATGATTATGCTTACATCGTGGGGAGACCCAAAGCCAAACGGCCCACTCGGCAGGTTTTCGCGGCGCAACGGACGCCTGCGACTGGCTGCTGCCAATGATCCAGGCCTCGATCTACAGGCCCTTTTTTGGCGGCGGTGGAGCCCAGGCAAGACCGATCATGTTTTTCCCCTGAGCACAAGTTGTGAGAAACGTACAGGCAGAAATGAGTCCGTGAAACATCATTTTTCCATTCTTAGTATCATACCCTCCTACTATCGGCTTTTAGCAGGGATAGATTAGATATCCGGTACCCTTGGCGGAGAATACCGTACATATATAGCACAGACTACCTACCTACCTAAAAGAGTTCAAAGACATTCCCTAAAGGATAGTAATTTCGCCAGCTAATCTAAAAAAAAAAAAGCTCTCCTTAATATCCAAATTGACAACGAAGAAGGGTCCGTTCATTTCGCATCTTACCTAAGAGGGGTTGGCCACCTAGTTATGTGCGGTGTCCAGAACATGCACCAACCATTGCGATGACGACTCCTGCGCCACTGAGGGGGCATCGAACTCGACGGACTCTCATCATCAGCCCCCTCCAACTGTAGCTTGGCATTTTAGTGGATCCGTAGGGCGTCGCATTGCAGCTGCAATAAGCCAACGACCGTCGAGATTGACCCCGTAGTCAGTTGGCTGGGAGCGAACAACGAATATTGGTAAATCGGTAGCAGGTCTTCTAAACTATTCCAGGCACCTAAATTGCGAGATGACGAGGACCGGTAAAGCTTGGTATATGTCCAGACATCCATCGCTTCTCCCAGTAGGACCTTTTGAAGGGGAAATATCACGGAGGTGTTCGTGGGCTGATACATCTGAGACACTACCGTCATCGAACGACTAATATAAAGAATGCTGGTGCATAATGCCGGAGTTCTGCAATGCCGGGGCTCCGTGCTCGCTGTTCGTTTAAGTTGACAGCCACACCACCCATGGATTCCATCACCGCGAAGGTCGGTAGACGATCGACCCCACAAATGCGATCCAAGGAATGAGAGACGATAGCATATTCATTATCGGCCAACGTTCTCAGTAGCAAGTACAAAGAATGGCAAGAAGAAGAAAAGTAAAAGGCGGGGGTGGGTGTTCGAGGAAAAGCAAAGAGGTTCCCACTTTCCAGCGAGACTAAACATGAAACAACTCAGCATAGCCGAGGCAGCCACTGTGGCCGGGCTAGACCAGTCTCAGCTCTGTCAATTACAACAGTGAAATGAAAGCATCCATAAGAGGCTTAGCAGTCAATATTTGTGCTGAAGAACTAATCCCGAAATTAACATAATGAAGATTAATGTCCCTTGCATTATGCACTCTAAAAGGTACAAGTCTCGAAACAACAGCAGCAGCGGGTTTGTCCGAATCTAAAACCGTTTCCGGACATCTCCCCTGACAAACCCGCCGCACCCGAAAGTCAGGAACAATAACCACCCAGACATGCATACGAGGAGAGAGGATCAAAAAGTACAGTGAGAGCCTCACAACTTCAATATGCGGTATTTATTACATTTTATCATGATGTAAGACCTCAATGGCCTAACAAAATGCCTTGAGTAAATTCACATGAGCCACTCCCAACGGCTTGAGGTCGGAACATATCGGGGGACAATCCATCAGCCCACGACGGTTTTACTGATTGACTTTACCCATTTCCGGGTCCCCGGGAACGGCTTTTACCTAGGCTAGATCGGAGTGATGATAATTTTCCCCTGCTCCGATCTGATAAGCCTTATTTCCCCGGCGTGCACAAGGTGCGCCCTAGCATGCATGGTCCGAATCGTACCTAGGTTAAGCCGCTCAACCGGATGAGCTGACTGATCGTGCTTTACCGGATGGTCCACTTCTTCATTAATCCGGGGCATGTGTCGTGTGCTATTACCGGTCTATACCAGGTGGGTTACATGAGGACTTGCTCTTACGGACAGACTGTAGTGTGTATTCATGGAAGAACCAGAATGGATTTGATAGGATCCTTAGACAGAGAACCATAACTATGTTTCAATCCCGAAAGACATTGGCAAAAGGACAGCAATAAGGGCCCTTGAAAGAGTAACCATCACACATCGCTAGAAACGAGACAGAAGATATAATCAAACATGAAAGCAGCATCAATGTTTCTGAGCTTGCTGCTGTTTGGAACCTAAAAGATCTTCCAAGAAACCACTCCACAGTTCCCGGACGACACCTGGTTCGGAGGTACCGTTCTGTTGCTTCTTCAGCTCCTCGCCGAATCTGGACTTCCCAACCGTCTCGGTTAGGGAGAAGGGATCAATGTCCACGGAGTGGTTGTCAACAACCTCGGTCATGGGACTTGCGGAGATGTCACCAGCACCCCCGGACACGGTATAAACCTGGGGCCTCATGGGGGCCTCTTGCGACTGGGTCGGGTCATAGTGGGTATAGATGTCGGAAAGGATCGGGATTTGCGGATCGGCACGAGCAGCAGGTGCATCGATCTCTGCCATAGAAGGCATGTAAGCGAAGTCAACGGTAGATGAGTCACCGACGGCCTTGCTAGAACGGGAAGTGTTGAATTGGCGGCCATGGTTCTTTCTGTGTTGAGCAAGAATGTTAGTTCCGAACTGGCTTTACCCGAGGTAACGGGCTGTCATGATGATCAGATCTACATACTCAGCGCTAGAGCTGCCGTTGATCCTCTTCATAGCGATGCTGAAGGCACGGGATTGAAGGAAATCATGGTTGGAGAGACGTTCGACAAGCTAAGCGACGCAGATAATGGTTAGCCATAACTGTGGTTTGACCAGGAGTGTAGATGTCATAGATAGCATACCTCAGACTGGGAGCCACTAGATCTCAAGGACCGCTTCACACATTCAGTCTTCAGATCAGCCAAAGTGCGACTGGCATACAGGGAAGCCCTGTCCGAGACATTGGCGGGTTGTGCAGACTGGGCGCCGGTGATGTGCAAGCCCCGACGGATGGATGGGGTGGTAGAGTGCTGCTGAGAGAGCACGCGGAGAGCGCGCAAAGAACTGGAACGAGGAGCTGCCATTGGAAATGTGATGGGAGGTAGAATGAGGAAAAGTTGAGCTCTTTGATATGTGCGGGTTTGGTTGAGGGGAACAAATATAATGGTCTGGGCAAATAGTTGAGCTCAAGAATGTAGAGCTAAGTATTTGATAGGGAGGAGTCAACAATTCAAGCAAGTACTGTAGATGGAAGTGACCGGCTATGTACAGCGGAGGGGGAGTCGAAGGGAGTTTAGGCACCAGAGATAAAGTATTGGAATGTGAGAGAGAAGGAGAAGGAAGAAAGAAAGAAGCAAGACGGGGGAAGCAGGCCGTACTTGAAGGACAGAAGCACAGGCGGACAGGCGTTGCTTTGCAGGAACCAGTTGGGGGAGTGATGAGCAAGCGACCTTGCCTTATCCACACGCTCCCTGCTGGGGTGGACACTCACTGGGGCCGGCGGTCTGGCCAAGTCTGCCGGCTGTTAATAGTAGAATGGAACCACTTGGTCCCGACCGAATAGATCGATCGATATGATCCTCCAACACCCCCAAACAGGTAATTCTGCCCTCCGGACACTTCCTCTGATCGGCTTTTGTCTGGAAAATGATCGCCTGATTATTTGTTTTCCATGAGTTGGCCATCCCCCCCTATTATCCGGTTTCATTACGAATCTGAGTCGAACAGAAAATCATCTCGTCCAAGGTAAAATAAATGGAAATGATAGTCATTTTGCTCGTGAGGGGTAGAAAGATGTGTCAACCACGGTAACAGGTACGAATGACCCGTCCCCCCAGCTCTCCCAGATCATGATATCCACCATTTGATTCAGGCTGTCTGCAGCCCATACAGAGAGGTTACTTTCACCATCTGGTGCCAATACGGATGGGCTGGGACTCCCCAATCGCAGCCTGCATAATCACCGGCGCCATCATGCAGACTGGTGGTCGGAGCAGCCAATGAACTGAACATTACGGACATTTCTATTACTACTCGGTACACCGGAGTCGCTGGTCAGTCGCTGATCGAGGGGCATTGGAAACACGCATTGGCCTGGCACTGTCTGGGATATGCCGTTCCTCGAATAGCAGATAGATTAGCTTCCCCTCATCGCAGTCGCATTATCCTTCCCCTCCTCTGCAGCAGCGGTACATCATCCATGAAGGTGCGCCGTGAATATATCATCGAGCATTATTATCTAGCGCGATGCGCGAGAGGGGCAGGAGATGATCCCTTCTTTTCTTGAAGGGCTCTACATATCTGTCGTGGTATTTCTTCTTCCATGCCTGCTAGACTGATAGTAGTCTCCCGCTCATCACTGGCAATCGGAGTTGGTGAAACTCTGCGACTGTTCCGTATTACATCAACCACTTTTGAGTTTATTCCACCATCCGGACAGAGTTTCCCACTTTAAAACCTGAAGATAGTCTTCATTTTTCCCTCATCAACCAGACACTCGTGATCTAATCCTGTGCAAGAGAGTGTTATGACAGGAACAACAACTCAAAACGTAAGCTGTTGCTCTGTACGTGGTTTCCTATAGCAGTAGTCCATCCACCTGCGGCGACACCTTCTATCTCCGTCCGTCACAACCTGCTGGAGCTCGGCGGCCGTGACGCAATGAAGAAACAACCAACGACATTCGAGAAGCTTACTAGCGCCAACGGGATTAAACCAGCCAATACCGTACTTTACTATGCCTTTTACCGAGAGGGATGCGTGTACAGACCCAACAACCGACCCTCATTCAACCTGCCAGGTAGGCCGATCTTGAATCGGGTGATTCTAAGTGGAAACTATGATTGGCAGGATGGATGGGATGATGGATGCTTACTTCCCAGAGGTGTACTGTGTAGCATGATGCGACGCCTCAAGGCTGGAGATGACTGGCTCGGGGAGTGCCTACTCCCCTCAACAGTTGAGGAGCGGTGAAGTGGAGACGGACGGGATGGGGCACGTGAGGTCGATCTGGCTTGCCCGGCAGCTTCCCCGTGGATCCTTCCCCGACTAAAATTAAGGTACTCTGATTTACGCCGTAGTCCCCATACCCTACGGAGTCCCCTTTCACCTCCTCCAGCCCTTCCGCAATGAGATACTCTGATATACGCCGTAGTCTACATCCTCTACGGGGTTACTCTTCCCCCATCTCATTTCAGCCCCTGATCCTGCTCGAACTCAACAAACGCAGACTCAGCCACCATGACTTGTGTTGGTGCTTGCAACGGCAAAAGTAAAATTCTGGGAGTCGTTTCGGTGACTCCCGTATCCTCCGCAGGATTCCGGCGATTCCCTCCATCTTCCATTCTGTTTCTTGCCCGTCTGAATGTCGTACATCATGCATCAACTGATGAGGTCCTTCTATGGCCTTTCCTTTTTTGGATTCCGGAGAAGCACATTTCAAACTTGACTAGATACACGTTAATAAGTGCTTATCAGCTTCTACCCGTTTGCTGGTTGCATCAGACCCAGCTAAGCCATGTAGTCATCGGAGTTAGAACGTGCAGGTACGATAATCAACTGAAAAATATGACCTCTCCACTACGACTTGGCTGTCGCGGCTTGGAGCTTTGATCTAAGTATGGCAGGGATTCCAAGAAATCAAGGCTTCAGCCAGCCCCGCATTAGTCTGTTTTAATATGCATTTGCATTGATAACCCCTCCAAGCATGTGAATCGTTTCCATCGTCTCTTACAGGGTCCCCAACGCGGTATCTACCTTGCGGATCCTACGACCCTCCCTGCCCAGGCATACACATTTTTAGTTACTTACCTACCTTATTCGTCCAACGGTATATACATCCCTTGCATTCATAGCATAGCTTGGACCCGTTAGGTAAATGGCTCTTCTTGATAGCTGAAAAAGCACGCCATCTTCTGGATCCACGCAAGTGTCGTCCGGCCACTTCCACGTATCCGAAGTTCATATCTCTTAAGTAGCGCTGACTATCTATGAACTCACGGTTGGATATACCGATCGATGTGACATTCTGGTTGCTATCTAGCATGCCCCTCCTTATCCAGGGACTGACACGACGAGTGCTATCAATGAAGCATGAACCATGCGACTAGTCGACTGTCTATGACTAGCTTACCTTGCGCATGCCACTGAAAGCCTGTTCCGACGAGTAGTGACCGTTTTACGATCTATTCTTATGTATTTCGGAGAATATTGATTCTACGTGTATACTCGGACTACGAGATACCTCGACATACCATCACCTTGAAAGAAACACAGGCGTCAGTTGGTATAGTACTATATAGCGGATAGCACCGTTCATATTGTCAATTTACCCACATACCTTCTATCTTTAACTCTGGAACGCACCTCCAGGGCATTCAAGCCCAAAACACGGCAAATACATGCCTAACCTACACAGCTGTATACCGCAAGGCTACACAGTCGTAAAGTTCATCAACCACATGGCCCAAATAAACTTCACAGAACAAAAGCATCATGCAACTTCCTACCGAAATGTAAGCCACGAGTCACAAACATAACCTTCATCGCACGACGCACCAACAAGCACACACGACGGGTCCAGCATCCAAACTAACCTACTAAAAGCTTGGGTTACTTCCTTATCTCCTATCTGCCTATCCACTACCCACCGGGGAAACCAGACCCTTCTCCGACGGTGGGGCCGGCCATCCATAACTAGTTACATAACTATTCTGAATAATACACCCTGACATAATCAATTCAACTCACAGCCACAGCCACACAAATTCGATTGATCGATGACTGTGGCTGTTTCCCAAGCCATAATCATCCCCAGAATTTCAGGCACCGCAACCGCATTCCTGTGAGTCAGTCAGGCATTGGTACTTTTACCTATCTAGCTTACTATTATTCTTTTTTATCCATTTTGTCCCACTTTTTGCTCTTTCTTGCCCCTCCCCCTCATTCGCCCTTGTGAGGCTGGGTGTGTTTCCATCATCTAGGAGGGACATTTTTTTTTTAATTCTCTCCCAACTAAAACGCATACTGATGCAACGGGCTACTACTGGTGTAGGGTATCTTGTGAAACAATTTGGTACTACTGCTACTACTATCAATAGTAAAAACCTAAGGGGTTGTTGTTGTCGTCGCTCTAGATCACTACTACTAGGTATGTTGCGGAGATCCCAGGCTATATAGGTTCTGTGGGGGCGGGGTGTTTCCTCTCCTGCTTTTTATTCTCGCGACTTGTGGAGGGTACTAGTGGGACAAGAATGGCTGTGACTGACTCATTTGCTTTCTTTTTGAAGATTTAGTGTCTTTGGATTCTGGTATTAGTACTGGTACTATTACTAGATTTGCTGGGGTGGCATTGCATCGTCAGCGTGCTTCTTATTCTTCTTGTTCTATATTAGGCAAAAGAAGCTTTTCTACTACTACTTCACTTCATTATAGTCAGGGATACCTGGCTAAGAGTGCGGTCAAGATGGGTGATTCTGAGGCTGTTCCTACTGCTACTGCTACTACTAGTAAACCTATCAGATATGTTGATGTAGGTAGACATTCACTGCACTGCCCCTTGAAACCCTCGCCGTTCGTTGCCATAGTAGCTAATGCAGAGACTCTAGATTGGAATCAACCTGAGTGATCCCGTATTCTCGGGTAGTTACCATGGCAAACAGGTTCACGACAGTGACTTGGACGACATTGTACAACGTGCAAAGGACATCGGGTGCCAGAAGTTCATGGTGACTGGCTCCGATCTGGAGGAGTCTCGGCGCGCACTCCAACTTGCACATGACTACCGTACGTTTGTTATCCCCCGCTCAATTAGCAGTGATTCCGTCTGACTTTACCTCCCTTGTAGCTGGATTTTGCTATGCAACAGTTGGTGTCCACCCTTGTCAGGCGAAGATGTTCGACGAGTATCCTGGTGGACCTTCCAAAATGCTCGAAGAGCTCCGGACGCTCGCATTGCAGTCGAAGGAGAATGGACAGGCTGTCGCCTTCGGTGAAATTGGCCTGGATTATGATCGCTTGTTTTTGAGTGCGAAAGAACCTCAGCTGAAGTACTTTGAAGCCCAGTTGGATCTGGCTGTGGAGATTCAACTCCCTCTTTTCCTTCATTCTCGCGCTGCTAGTGAGGATTTTGAGAAATTGTTGGGGCCGCGACTTGCCAAGCTCCCGAAGAGAGGACTTGTGCATAGTTTTACAGGGACTCTGGAAGAGATGGAGCGGATGGTTGCTCTTGGGCTTGACATCGGCGTGAACGGTTGCAGTCTGAAGACAGAGGAGAATCTCGAGGTGGTGAAGGCTATCCCGCTAGAGAGACTCCAGATTGAAACAGATGGCCCTTGGGTATGCCTCACCTTCCTGTCATTTCATTCGTATCTTTACTGACTTTGACCTATAGTGCGAAATTCGTCCTTCCCATGCCTCGTCTAAATACCTCAAGGGTGCGCCGGAGTTGCCAAAGGCTGTCAAGAAGGAGAAGTGGCAGAAGGGTCTCATGGTCAAGGGTCGCAATGAGCCTGCCGCGATAGCCCATGTCGCCTACGTCATCGCCCAGATCAAGGGGATAACGGTGGAAGAAGTCTGCGAAGCGTGAGTTTCTCCTCATTCCACGGCAATAGCCTGAATATGTCGCTAAATTATCTCATTCTAGTGCTTGGAATAACTCGATCAAAATGTTTGGGCTTGGGGAAGATGCATGATTATAATGCTGCATCTAGAATATATTATTAGGCCCTTCGTTTACAAAGCTTTCACTAACCTCGCATAGCCCCTCCATGAATTCCGGCTACCCGCTGAAGAAAAATTCACTTGTCTTTTGATTATTATAGATAGATAATGATGATGGAAAAAATAACCCTTTGAAGATGTTATGTTGGTGCTTTTTTGAAGTCGCGCCCGACCACCGATCCGTTTCTAGACGCTGAGTCAGTCGGCCCCAACCATGGTTCCTCACAACGGCTAGACTCTGCTCCTTGTCAACTGCTGCTGCTGCTGAAACGCAAATTCTATACTGCATTCTCCCACTCCCCTCTGTTTATTCTGTCATGAAGAACGAGAAGCAAAACTGTCGTCAGCCTTTCTAGTAGGTGCTTCCAAGAAGTAACCAACGTGAGTAGCTATCTGGCTTTACTCTGCCACGAGACGCTCGCAGGGGTTCCTTCTTGCTTCACTTGAGAGCTGCACCGAGAGCTGCGCCGCACGTGTCTGTTCCTGCTTAAGCATTGTGCTCGCGTGAGGTCTGACGGCAGAAGCTAGCTCGCTTTCTATTGACCTTCTTTTACATCAGCTCACCGCCCATACTTGTCCCAGCTCCAAAACTACTCAGACCTCATCTCTTATTCCGCCCTAGGTTGTGCGTTGGCTATCGAAGATCCCCTTCTATTTCATCATCGCAAAAAGACGGATCTTCTATCATCGTCATTATGTCTCCTAGTCGGATCTTTTCCATTTGAGGCTTGCGAGTCAGCCTTACTCGTGTCTCACAAGCTTTCCTTTTGCGCATAATCCCTTTCTTCCCAAGGCAGTTTCCGGTTATTGAGCTTGAGGCTGGTTCTTCTTGCTCCTGGTGGTCTTCATAGGTGTCCTCCCCCCCTACTCCCCCCTTTCCTCTTAAATTCGAAGTTGTGAGACCTCTTGAGTCTTGCTACTTCTCTACGGAGGTGTTGAATCATACAGCCGCTGGGTGTCCGGATCATCAGGATACCAGTATGGCCTGTCCGTTGACCGAGAAGAATTCGAACAGCTCTCTTAAGAGTACCAATGGTGAGTGATTAGTTTGCTGACAGTGAACATATTGGGCTTTCCCGATCTCTCTATTTTCGTCTATTGCTTACAATAGCTAATCAACGTTCCAGATATAGCTCGCCATAAAGCCTCCTCTGTGGAGTCTGAGTCTGTACAGTCAGAGCTACCAGTCAATTTTGGAGAGGTCGTGAAAGGGATATATCGCTCTTCCTTTCCCTACCCCTGGAATCTTGCAGCACTCAAGAAGCTGGGACTGAAGACCATAATGTACGTATTTCTGCGAGCTTGCGCATTCGTGACAGTTAACTAACAAGACCTTAGAACACTGGTTGATGAACCATACCCCCAAAGCCATGTGATGTTCGTCAAGGAGAACGGCATTGCACATCATCGCATTTTGGTTCAGGCAAACAAAGACCCTAATGTTAAAATACCTGACTCTGTCATGTGTCGAATCCTTGAGCTTCTGCTCGATAAGAGCAACCATCCTGTTCTCGTCCATTGCAACAAGGGAAAGGTAAGCACTTGTCTTCTTTTTGGTTTTGATGCGTGAATTAATACTTTTTATAGCATCGTACCGGATGCGTGGTTGCCTGTTTTCGCAAACTTCAAGGCTGGGATTCATGCGACGTCATTGAAGAATACCTTCGATATGCCTTTCCAAAACCGAGATTACTCGATGAAAACTACATCGACCGATTTGACCCATCCCAACTTCATCAACTTGCTCAGTCTTCCGGTGTCAAGACGTGGCAATCATCTGGGCTCTTCAAGATGCCACCGGAAGAACAGGACAGAGACAAGGATTCCCCAAATTGCCACGTCCCTCCATCCCTTTAAAGAGGCCTATGCGGTTCTATGACTCCCATCATAGAGCTGACCAGACCTCCACCCTCCGACTCACCATTGATCAAACGACCTCCGTCCTGACGATCCGATACTCCTAGTGGCAAATTTCTCAGCCATCTGTCCCTTATAAAGGGACAGTAGGAATGATCGGTTTAGGACCCCATACTACCTCGTTCCTATTAGAACTACTCCCTAACTATTTCTTCTCTGAACTAAAAAGCATAAAATACTTGTCGACGACTGGATCGTGTTAAAAGAAGCTCTAATGCTGTGTCGGAGGGATTTCCATTTTTGCTATACTCGCGCTTATGTTATACCCCTCAAATGTCTTAAGATAGACTGGTTCCTGGTACTTGTTGTCACTCCGTCACTAGTGTACTATTTATTGTGGGAGTAGATTGGTGATTTTCAGTCTTCAATAGGGCGTGCGTGTCAAGAGAAAGACACGGGAAGACAAAAGGCCGTCTTGTTATGGCGAAAGTGTATTTTAGACAATCGTCCTACTTAACTCGAGGAAGAAGAGATTATTCTTTCAAAAGATCTATGACCCCATCAAGTTTATGATTATATTATAGTTCTGAAGTACTAGGAATAACTTAATCGAATAGGTCAGGAGAAACTCGATTTTCCCTGGCTATTGCTATCAATTATAATCCTTTATAAGATATGATAATGATATAGTACCTACTGTATATACTAGTAACATGTCTTCTCCAACAATGATAGTAGCATCTCAACAACACCGAGTAACCATAACGCTCAAAAACTACTGCAGAGCATATCGTCGTCATCGTGATCTCCAAACCCTTCAAATTCTATCATATCATCTGAAAACAGCGTGTAAGTCATATCATCTTCACCAGATCGATCGGACATAATGTTAGTATTCTCATCTTCGTAATCGTCCTGAGAGAATGGCAGTGACCCGCATGATGAAGAAGGTGCAGCAGCAGCAGTAGTAGTCGATAGCATCGCGCAGCTACTACTTTCATCGGGCTCACTGAAGCCAAGAAGTTCTTCTTCTCCATCGGAAGAATATCCTAGTTCTCCATACATTCGTTCTTCGACTGGCGACGGCTGGTCTTTGCATCGAGGGTTGGGTGATGGAGCCTGAAAACGCAGTTTCCGGGATGTCTGTGGCTTGTAGAGCTGTTCCTGGGCGATGCGGAAGAGGGATGCACTTATAGTGTTTCTGATATTGTTTGTGTCTGTGTTTGCCGTAGCGGACTGGGACGTCTTATTATTATTTAGCTTGCCTAGTTTGGATTGAAGGGATTGGTGGTTGGGGAGCTTGAGTATGGCAGAAAGTGATTTCGTGATTGAGGGGATTAGGGTTGATCGTTGACTCATTTCCTGGTAGTGGGGTGAGTTAGTCGTTCTCGTTGTGGTAGTGATGGGCCTTACCCTGTGGTAGTTCGGGGTGAAGACTGAGGGTGCAATTTGTGAAAGAGGTTGTAGCGTCTTGCTTTGGGAATCACTTTGATTAGTTGGCGCAGTGCGTCCGAATAAAAGAGCCTCCAGGCCGATTGTGAAGAGATTGTTCAGTTGTCCACGCTGTTCATTCGGGGGAATCTCTTCGAAGGATTCTTCTGTGGGAGTGGGAAGCGGGGAGCTCTGTTCGCTCTCAAGCAACCCTTCTAGCTCATCGATGAAGGATGTGGCTTGAGTGTCTTCGGAGTTACTAGCATATAAGTTTGGTTGGGGGTCAAACAAAATGGTGTCTTGTGTGCTCTTTAGTATATATTTCATATAGCAATAGTCTCCTACCGAATCCGGTGTTGTCAAAGAGTCTGCATAGTTCAGTATATATAGCTGTGCGGTTTTATTTTTGGTAGTGAATGTCATAGATGCATTGACTGTAGATAGATAAACAGTATTGATGTAATCTGGAGGATGAATATTGTCAAGATAATCGAATAACGTTGTTTTTCGCGTAGGTCTCGTCTTCGACTGTTTCAAGTCCCTTTGTATGCCGATGATGAGCTTGAAGGAGGTGACATTGTCGTAGTGGAGGTGATTATAGCTCTTAAATAACGCAACAAGGCCATGATCTGACCAGAGCTTGATAAGCAAGCCATTCGTTAGCTCTTTCCACAAGACTAATTAACGCTGAAGCTGACCATGAGAATACCTTGGATCTACACATCATCTCTCCGACTGATGAAGCGAAAGTGGAAGCCGAAAGGACCATCGACGCATCGATATTGACCGAGATGTAGAGCTTGAGTTCGGGAGTTTGGGACACCCATAAATCTTGCGACTGGAGCAGCCTCTCGATACAGACTGCATCCGTTAAGCCAGTGTTTTCGGGAATTAGTACTTGAGCTGAAGCATGAATATGGAGATCGATAGTTGAATTAAGGGAACTAAGTCGATCTTCTCCAAGATCAATTGTCAAAACCATCCCGTGGCTTTATATAAGGAGCAGTCAGCATGAACATATACATTTGTGAAGTAGGCCCCCGGTCAATTGGGGAAAGTGCTTGTAGTAGACGAAAAAGGAAAGGAGAGGCGGGATCTATCTATGACTGTGGAGAACTAAGCGGAATAGACGTCGCCGATCTCAATTCCCTGCATTTCTAGCTCTGCTCACCTTCGATATGTGGCGCATATAGTTGCATGGATGAAGCATATTAACACTATGACAGACTGGAGAAATCAACATAGACCAAGAAACCCGTAGTAACTAGGAACTACCCTCGAACATGAGGACTAATACGTCTCCACTACCTTGTGTCACAAGCGCGCGGGATCGGAAGCGCATGAAGCTTATCGCGAATCTACTCCCAAAAGAAAAAGGGAGTAGTGCATCTCCAATGCAGCTCTAGCGAATTGAGTAGCTTAGTTTACAGGAATATATAAGCATCATAATTGCCAGCACTGCAATTGCTTACATGCTGGTATGATCGCTGCCCAAAGCAGTAAAGTATTTTGGGTGTTATTGACTGATCTATTGACGTTTATTTTTAGCCGGCTTATCGATAAGACATCACGTGCCTGGGGATTGATTACCTGGCCCCTAAAGCATCCTCCGCATCAGGGATTCCTAGTTTCAGGAGCTTCACAATTCAGCGATGCCCAGTGATGAAGGACAGCGCGCTCTCTTGGCTGACCAGAAAGGCCCCGATGGGCCGGAATCGCAGTCACTTCTTTCCGAGTCGCCGACACAAGACTTCGAGCTTGTGAACCATGCGGCCCCGACTAGCTCGAGTCCCCGCGGACAGCCGCACCAGTCTTCCATATCACAGCCGGTACCAGAAGGACAGCGCCGCACTCCTCGAACGATGAACCGAGTTCGCTTTGACCTGGATGACGAGACCGAGGATGAAGACCATCCCAATGGTCGTCGCGACTCCGGAGACTCATGGCTGGAGGAAGAGGACTATGGCCGTGCAGACCGCAACCGGTCAACCAGGCAAATGGTCCCTCTGCTGACAGACATTGAGGCCCCGAGCGTGACCCTGGCTACTTCCGATGAATTCTTTCCCGAAGAACACCTAGAAAGTGCGAGGCCGAGGAGTGGGATGCGCATGGCCTTTATGAACATGGCCAATAGCATTATAGGGGCTGGTATAATAGGACAGCCTTATGCCCTCCGACAGGCTGGCATGTTCATGGGAATAACACTCCTGATTGTCCTCACTATTGCTGTTGATTGGACAATTCGCCTGATAGTGGTCAATTCGAAGTTGAGCGGTGCGGACTCTTTCCAGGCAACAATGCAGCATTGTTTTGGCAAGAGTGGACTTATCGCCATATCGGTTGCGCAGTGGGCGTTTGCGTTTGGCGGCATGATTGCGTTCTGTATTATCGTTGGAGATACCATACCGCATGTCTTGAGTGCTTTGTTCCCTTCCCTTCGTGATATGTCGTTCCTCTGGCTTTTGACCGACAGACGCGCTATCATTGTTCTTCTTGTTCTCGGAATTTCGTATCCCCTGTCTCTGTACCGAGACATTGCTAAGGTACAGTATCAGTAAATCCTCAAAGCTGAAGTATACGGTGCTGACAGTTCAATGTAGTTGGGAAAAGCGTCTACCTTCGCGTTGATCAGTATGATAGTCATTGTGGTAGCTGTGATCACGCAGGGGTTTCGCGTACCTCCAGAATCACGCGGGGAAGTGAAGAGCCTGCTCCTGGTTAATGATGGCTTCTTCCAGGCTGTTGGAGTGATATCATTTGGTATGTTCCGGTCATTGGTAGACTATGCGATCAAAAAAACCGTACTGACTGTTTGCAGCATTCGTATGCCGTATGTAGCATTGTCCCTTGACATGGCCCGAGACTAACAGATGCAAAGATCACAATAGTCTTCTGATCTACGGTTCATTGAAGAAACCGACCATGGACCGATTTGCAAGGGTAACCCACTACTCGACTGGTGTATCACTCTTGATGTGTCTAGCTATGGGCATCTTTGGTTTCCTTTTCTTTGGAGCACAGACTCAAGGAAACGTCTTGAACAATTTCCCATCCGACAATATTCTGGTCAATATCGCACGACTGTAAGATCACGGCCCATATTCCGCGGACATTCAACAAGCTGACCCGAAGAAGATGCTTTGGCCTAAACATGCTCACTACCTTGCCGCTCGAAGCATTTGTATGTCGGTCGGTGATGACAACTTACTACTTCCCTGACGAGCCTTTCAACATGAACCGACACCTGATATTCACATCGGCACTGGTCGTGTCCGCTATGGCTATGGCTTTGATAACGTGCGACCTAGGTGCAGTATTCGAACTGATTGGTGCAACCAGCGCTGCTGCACTGGCCTATATCTTTCCGCCTCTTTGCTATATCAAGCTGAGCAATGCGTCGCACAAAGCCAAGATCCCCTCATATTTGTGCATTGTATTCGGCATAACTGTTATGGGAGTCAGCCTGTTGCAGGCAGTGATGAAGATGATAAGTAGTAGGTCCAAGACCCTATTCACCTGATGGCCTCTGGGCTGGCTTTGCTAACAATTTTCACTTGCTGCCATAGATGAAGGCGGCGCGAGCACCTGCAGTGCTTAGCGTGAAAATATTCCTATTCGGTCTCTGAGCATATATAAGCTCACTTCCCATCTGATAGACTTCATTTCCTCTGGCTGCCTCGATATAAATGTACATACTGTCGTGCGCCATCACGTTTCTATATCCAATTTTTGCCTCTTCCGTATAATCTTCTGGTACCGAAATATCTTTCTATATTGACATAACCGTGATCGCTGTGCTATACTAGCCGCGACGCTTCAGAAGGCAAACACTTAGGATGGAATAGGGAGTGTAGTGTGGTGGCTACCGATTTCACTTGGCATACGAAGACTAGTACCTCGTCGATTGCTCCGATTTGAAACTTGCTCAAAACTGTCAAACTTGTCCAATCAACCGGTGCTTAACTTTGGGTGGCTGCAAAGCTGCGTTTGCAGGCATCCTAGTACAGCAGGTACTCACCCACAACACGCAATTGTTTCACTTACTAGCCTTTATATGAGTCTCGTATCTTCCTTTTTTATCAATCTGACTTCTGAAATATCCATCCACAGCGCCGACTGCTAGCATATTTGTTCTGCCTTCTTGGTATCCAAATCCCTCATTCATTGCACCCAAAACTCGATTGTAATACCTACTGTCTTGCCTAACCCCCACATTGTGCTTCCCCTTCAAGGTTCAACTATTCAAAGTATCCATGCTGTCTTGACTGGTTTAGTGGTGACACTACTATTTCTCCCCGACAAAAACATTTTCGTACCTTATCCTCACCCTCGCCTTCCTGACTACCTCTGTGACCTTGAAATATCATTCACTTAACTCTGCTAGTGATGCTTGGGCAACAGAATATCTCCCGGGGCTAACTTCACTCTCTGGTAAGGCTAACGCGTTTAAAAGACGCGTCCAGCTCTCCCTGAGTGCACACATGGATCTTTCCGTCCCAACTCAGTTTTAGACAGACATTTGAACATCGATTTGTTTCTGCAATTGCAGCATCATCTCTTCGAGAAGATGGATTCCAATACTTCAGATCGCCTCAAGAGGCTTCAAATGGTACGTTGTGCAAAGAACCAGGAAGTTCAATTCTATGATACATGCTTTTTGGAGTAGAGTCAATGGCTAATCCAGACTCTCACCCCTATAGGAAGACCTCGGAACCGCACGACGGGAGTACATCTCAACTGCAGATGACAGGCGACATAAGAAGGCTAGGTTGGAAGACATAGAGGCAATACGGATGACAAACATTCCTGGTTCAGCTGCTCAACGCATGGCCACCGCAAACCAGGGGAGACTTGAGGATTGGGCAAGTAAGTCATTGGAAAGGAGAACCTCTCAGATATTATGCCTGTTTCCTCTTGCTGAGCTTCTGTACTCAAGATGTCCACAAGACAATAGGTGATACCGAAGATCTGGAAAACCTCGACAGCCTCCTGGATGGACAAAGCCATCGACTTCAGCTGAGCGCCATGATTCGGGGAAGTGGAGGGCAAAATTACATAGGAGATCAAAGGCGCTCTGGTTCTGCTCCAGCTATCAGGTCGTTGCATTCGGTCGGTCGTGGCGGCGGCGTGATAGGCACCCGAGGACGTGGAACAAGGCAGAGCTCTTTACCGTGAGTATCAAATGTCTTTCTTTACCTATCACAGATTTCTGGCTAAGATATAAGGAATATGCAGGCCGTCCAACTTTGCCCCCAGAGGCCATGCTGCTCAGTCTCAGAAGCGGTCCCATAGAGATGCAGCTCTTGACGACAACGACTTCTACCGCACGGCTCGTGAAGGAAACGCTTCAAGGAAGGTAGAAGCTATGAGAGGACAAAACAGACGATCTTGTAAGCTATTGGTGTTCGCATTAGTGAGATACATGGCGTCTAATACGATCCTTCTAGCTGTGCGAAGGCCTACGTCTTCTATGTCCAGACCGAGAAGACCCGTGTCACAGTATGTTGCAGTTACCATCCCCTAAATGATATCAAATCAAACCTTACATTTGGATACAGGGTTGACTATAGTAGCATGCTCAGTCAGCCACAGAGTTTCCTTGCTGCCGCTCGCAGTCTGGTTAGCGCTAGAACTACGCCGGCTGCCCCTACTCCTGCCTCCCAAACATCTCGCGATGCTGGCAGATCTGAGGCCAGTCAAAAGCCTTCAGAGCCAATGGACACCACAGATAGGTCTACTATTCAGGAGACGCAGCCGCATTCAAAACCCCAACAGGCGGAACCTTCCAAGCCTCTTCCCCGTTCAGTAGTTCAGCTACCGGCAATTCCCCCTCGGAGCACGGCTTTGCAGCAAGAGAGTGCAACCAAGACGGACGAGCCGCTTCCAGTCTTGCCATCTCCAGCCGTACTCGATACCGCCAGTCAGGATCAAGGGTCTGCCTCTATGAGCTTGGAGTCGACGGAGGATGAAAAATCTAATTCTGGAATGCCTGAAAGCCAAGCTGGAACACGAGATCAAGTTACCACTGACCCCTCTACAGAGGCAGCCCCTGCACCGGATGCTATAGATACCACTCCAAAGGTAGCAACTGATGTCAAAGAAGCCATCCTGCTTGACTTTAGCTCCACACCACCGGAGCAAAGCATCCATGGCCAAAGTCCTGCTACTACGGAGGTGCTAACTCCTTCTCTTGAAGACCTGAAAGGCCTTGACTTTAGACAGGATCTTCACCCTAGGTTTCCTACTAGAAGAAAAGTTGACTTTGACATGTCTTTGGACAAAAGGGAAACATCCACCAATGAGCGTGATATCATGCCTACCAAACAACATGACAATTCCGAAGCCAGCGAGGATCTGCATCGGCAGATTAATATGCTGTGCGAGCTTTTGCAGTCGACTTCTCTTTCGGGTGAGCACCGTGAAAGCCTGAAGCAATGCAAGACAGCACTCGAAGGGAAGTTGCAAGGCGCTTATGACTCCACAGATAAAACAATTCAAACACAAGAAGACCCTTTCCTTGGAAAGCCGGCTTTTGAAACTCTTGAAGCGGCAGCTGGGCCAGATGAACAACCTCAATCGACCATCAGTGGTCTAGGTATACAGAATATATCCATGGACAGCTCCACCCCAAAGAAAGCTGAGACGATAAGCGAATCAGACAAGCAATCGACCCCCAGCATCGGTGGACAGATCATGCCTACATCAGTCGAGAATGCCCGACTAGCGATGGCAAGTCCAAGCCCGTCCACCCGACTCAACGTGACCGCGCCGCCATTCGTCCCAAAGACACCCTACCGCGCCCAGTCGAATAGTTTCTCAAGCGAGTCAAATGCGACATGCGTTCCCGAAACTCCTTGCCCGCACCGTCGTGTGAGTATGCCAGAAGGACACATATTCGGGGATCACCTACTGCCAGGTAGGCGTAGAGAGACCATATCCTCTAGAGCCGAGCCGCTTGCGGCGAAGCAGCCACTAGCCAATGGTAAGTATTATCTTTATCTATCTATATATGCATTTTCTCATGTCAAGAATACTAATTTCTACTCCAGAAGTTCCTGAACTCCGTTTGAAGTTCTCGATTCCACCGAAAGTCTCACACAAATTGACTATCAAGACACCTGTCAGGGAAGGATTTGGCAAAGAGGAGACCCCCAGACCAACTGCGCCACGGCTTGCATCAGGGAACATTCCCAAGCCGGCCACCAGACCTTCACCTGCTCTGCAGCAGTCTGTCCACGCCCCGAAGGCCAGGCCCTCCCCCTCCGCCTTGGGCGGTCTTGAGAGCTCTAGATATGCGTCGCCATCGAGCAACAAGCCTTTTCGATAATTCCAATGAGACTTACTAATCGGTGGAAATCAGGTTGTTGTTGTTGCTGTGTGTTATCTACAGTTTGATCATGTTGTACTTAGTACTATTACTACTTAGGTAATAACTAAATGTGAAAAGAACCGCATATTGTAGGATTAAGCGGGTTTGCTTCATACAGTTCTATACATTATCATTTCGTAGTAACATGGTTCACGACAAGTAGCATATTTAAATTGATGTTAAACAAAACGTCATACTTCTCATACTATTGAAGACAATCTATGGTGTAGGTAACAAACTAGTACATATATATCCTACAGCTTCGCCTTGACCTTGAGCATCGCCTCTGCCACTTTCCGTCGTTGAATCTTACCCGTCGCCGTCTTGGGGATCTGCGGAACAAGCCACACCTACAATATAAAGTCCAATTAGTGACCCCATATCACATCAAAGCAACAACAAATAGAGGGGGGGAAAACCCACCTTCTTCGGCGTCTTAAACTTCGCCAACTTCGACTCCACCCACGCCTTCAACTCCTCCTCAGTAGCAGCATCCCGACTCTTAAGCACCACCGCAGCACCGATATCCTCCCCATAGTGACCCTCATCCGGAATAGCGAAGCACACAGCCTCCGCGACCTTCGGATGATGCAAAAGCGTATTATCCAATTCAATTGGACTGATCTTCTCACCTCCTTTATTGATAAGTTCCTTGATACGGCCTGTGATGATAACGTAGCCATCGACGTCTTTCTTGCCCTGGTCGCCTGTACGGAAGAAGCCGTCCGCAGTGAAGGACGATGCATTCGCGGAGGGGTTGTTCAGGTAGCCCTTTGTTACGTTGTCGCCCCGGACGCAAATCTCTGCTTCTTGGCCTTGGGGCACTTCGTTGCCGTTGTTGTCGAGGATTCGTACTTCCACGCCTTGGCCTAGGCCTACGCTGCCGGGTTGGCGTTTCCCTGGGGGAAGGGGGTTGCTGGTCATTTGGTGGGCGGCTTCGGTCATGGCGTAGGCTTCGAGGACCGGGGCGTTGAAGGCCTTTTCTAGGTCTTGGAAGGTTTTGGGCGAGAGGGGTGAGGAGCATGAGCGGATGAAGCGGATTGGGGGGACTGGGTTGGAGAGGGGTGTTTTGAGGAGGATTTGGTGGATGGTTGGTACTGCTGTGTACCAGTTTGCTTTGTGGGTGGTGAAGTCGGTCCAGAAGTCTGTTGCGGAGAATCTGGGAGGGACTATTACGGAGCCTCCGGAGTATAGAGGGGCTAGGAATGCTGCGAGGAGACCGTGGACGTGGAATAGTGGCATCACGAGATATGTTCGGTCTGCTGGGGTGAGTTGGTATGTTGCTTGGATGTTCCCTGTAGTGGGTTAGTGGATTTGTTCTTGGGATTGGCTCATTTTTTTTTGCTTTTGGCAGTGTGTCTGTATATTTGTATTGCTACTTACTCATTGTGGTTGTCAAGTTCTTGTGAGTGAGTGGGACCTGCATGGCAAGTGGTAGATCGGAATGTTAGTTATATGAGATATCCAATAGGATGTGGGATAGTAGATCGAGCATACAGCTTTGGGTCTGCCAGTCGTCCCACTGGTATGTAGAACAAGAGCAATGTCATCAGGCTGAGCTTCCTGGATATCTGCGCCTCCATTGCCAGCCAACTTTCCATGTTCCTTGACATCTAAAACGATCTCGGAACCGTTCCAGTAGCACTCCGCGATAGCGGCCTGGTACTTCCGGCCCGCGCGAACAGCCGGTCCATCCTTTATGTATGACCCCTTCGGGATTATAAGCAGAGTGGAGCTCAGATCGTCAATGTAGAATTCGAATTCCTCTTGCTTATAGGCCGGGTTCAAGGGCGCGGCGATGGCACGCTGCCAGGAGGCGGCAAGAAAGGCGACTATGAACTCATAGGAGTTAATCAGAGCCAGCGAGACGGCAGCGCCATGAGTGACACCCAGTCGAGCTAGCTTAGCCTGAAAATCGGCGATATGGTTGTGTAGCTGCTGATAGGAGATCGACAGCGGAGTGGGTTTATTGGGGACTAGGACAGCAGGGTCAGCACTATCGGAGGAAAATGACCGGGCCAAGGTCGCCATCGTCGTTAGTATGCTGCAGGATAGTAACGTTTAGGGTCTTGGCTTGGCAGGGATGCTGATCGGAATTGAATCAATAGAGTTGATGAGATCCAATTGCTTATGGAACTTGTGAGATGGAGAATCGGGATTCAGGAAGTATTCACAACGCCACGAGAACTTGTTTCCCAGGGTAATTTGCTGAAGGGATAGGGGTTCCCTTTCTTGTCTCTCCATCCGACCTCGGGATCTCCTCTTTGGGCCCCGCTCCCCCATTACTTCCTGTTTGGGACAGCTGATTCTGGTTAGTCACCGCCACAATGTAACAAACTAAGCAAACCATGTAAACTAGACAAACCTCACCTCATTCTATCGGCCCCGTTCACATTGCTTGGTGATCGATTGATGGTACGCTGTAAAGCTGTCGCTTGAACTGTCCCTTCATGCTTATTAGATCTTGATTTCTCTTCATATCGTATCAGACATGGCTTCTGACTCCACCCCCGCGAAGCCAGGGGGTACCTTGTCACTCTACGCCAATCTTCTGGATCCATCTGCCGATAACTCGCCCGGAACGATCGCTCGCGCCCCGGTCGTCTTTAAGCAGAGTAGCACTACCGAGAATAATGACTCTCAGTCCGATGACTCCGCTGCCAAAAAGCAGCAGCTCAGTGCTGGTAGACTCATACCCTCTTTTGTTGACTGAGCCGTTTTATCTGCTTTTGAACGATCTGATTGCTCACTTGTCCGCCCGGTTGTTCTCATCGGTGGTTTCCAGCTTCTCTCAGATTTCAGCCTACCAAGAGGCCCCAGCTAGCAGCTCAGAAACCGAAACCGAAACCGACGTTACCAAAGGCTGCGGCTGCACCCGCAGCCCCAGCAGCAGCCCCCGTGAAGACTACTCTCGCCGATTGGGCAGCCACTGAGGATGACGATGTCAATGGATTCTATGCCGGTCCGAAGAGGCAACGAGGTGGGCGCAAGAAGCGCAAGAAGAACCGCGAGGCGCAGGAGTTTGTGCAGAACTGGGACGACATTTATGACCCGTCGCGGCCGAACAACTACGAAGAGTACAAGCACAGCGACGAACAAATAGCTGAGGTGAGGGAGTGGAAAGACCGTCTTTACGCACATCGCATGGCCAGATCGCCCAGCAGGGACTCACTAAGTGACGATGAATATGCACGACCCATGAACCGTAAGCTATTCGCCCTCAAGATCGTGTTCGTTTGCTCATGACTGTCATAGGTAAATTTGCTCCTCCGAGCAGCTTCGCGCCGCCTCCCAATCTCAACGATATGCCACCCAGGCCACCCATCGAATCTCCTCCAGAACGAACAAGCGAAAACCCAGGAGATATCTCCATGTCGGATGCTCCTCCACCGCCACCCCCAACCGATGAGCCGCCCGCGCATGTTCCGGATGACCCTACAGGCGAAGATGCCTACTTACGGCGCCTTCAGTTGTCAATGGGCAACCAGCCTGCAGCAGCTCCTGCTGCCCCACCACCGCCCAGGCCCCTAGAATCCTTACAACCAGCTTCCGCAACTATATCCCGAGCACCCGTTCGCTACACGCTTCCTCCTCCACCCGAGGACATACCTGCGTCGGAGGCGGAATTGGAAGAAGTCTTCGCAAAGGAGCAGCCAGTGGAAGATGAGCCGGAGGATGAGAGCCAGCGTTCGCTGCGGCCAGGACAGAAGGGATTTGCTGAACGTCTCATGGCCAAGTATGGCTGGACTAAGGGCTCTGGTCTGGGTGCTACGGGTACCGGCATTGTCAAGCCATTGCAAGTCAAGGTTGAGAAGCAGAAGAAGCGACCGGACTCCGAAGGTGGAGGCTTCGCAACGCCCGCTGGTCGGGGCAAGATTATTGGTGGCGCAAGGAAGAATGAAGAGGAGGGGAAGTTTGGTCCAATGAGTGAAGTCATTATCTTGAAGGGCATGCTTGACGGAATGGACTTGGATGCTGAATTAGCTGGGGATGGCGAGGGCGGTGGTCTCATGCAAGAGATTGGTGAAGAGTGTTCTGAGAAGGTAAGTGGATGTTTGTCTATTACATGGCACAGTCTAATGAGATACAGTACGGTCGTGTTGAACGTGTCTTCATACCTCGAGACTCGGCGCCTCCAGTGCCAGTTTTTGTCAAGTTCACCAATCAGCTCTCGGCTCTACGTGTAAGTGCTGCATCAATGCCCACCTAATGCTTTATTTGGAAAACCTGACTAAGAACTCTAGGCCGTCAACGCTCTTGAGGGTCGGATATTCAGTGGGAATGCCATCACTGCCCGGTTCTACGATGTACATACTTTTGAACAGGGGATATACGATAGCTAATAGCGGGAAGGGACTCTGTACCTGATATCTCACAAGTTGCGAACTGAAGAATACAAGCAAGGGACAATTTTCTCACCTTTTGCGGCATTTAGCATAGTCATATTGGGGAGTCGGAACAAGACTACTAGGAGAATGCATCCATTTCAGTGAGTCTTACCAAACAATCAGGTCACTTTTTGCATTACTACCAGTGCTCAAAGACCAGATAACATGATTTCCCCTGTGGCTATCTATACTGCATTAATGTCATGTGACTTAAAGCATGAGATATACTTGCTTCCAGGCTCCTTCCACAGTGATTGTTGCCTAAATTCATAAATACAATGGACTATGTTGTCTGAGATAGTTTATACATCCTGACAAAGGCTATATGCCACAAGCATAGCGCAGCTACTAATATACCACCGATATGAGGAAGTTGCTGGAGTGGTTGGAGAGACTAGTAGCAGTAACCTCTTGACTAATTACTTCATTGGTACATGGTATCTCTGTGCTTTTGAGTTGGCTGACGGCGATCTCCGGGAATAATTGCTGCATGTTAACTGTGTGTACCCAATAAAACCACCAAGTACAACGCAAGGACACATGGAAGACCCCATTGGTTCCGTCGCCCAGGGCACAACTGCAGAAGGAGGAAATGGAAGACGTGCCAATGAACTTTCATCGATCAAAAAGTTCGATGCGGATCTATGAGGTCATGTGACAGCGATAAACCGCAGCGCCGCCGGGGACTGATTGGCTGTGGGGCATCAAACCCAGCGATGAGCAGCTGCACGCCCAAGACAGTGTTACTTCGTCTCCGCATTCACGGCCGACCTTAATTTGCCTACCTCACTATCATTTAAATCCCTCTGACCTCGTTTCTCCCGCCTCGCTTTCTTCTCTTCTTCCCCTCCTCCTCTCAACCCTCTCAACCCTCTCGCCGTCATCCCAACCTTCTTCGGTTCCAGCCCACCTACGTACTCCGAAACCGCATCCCCCAAAATGTCGCTTTGCCAGAACCGTCTAACGGAGGAGAGGTATGTGACTGACAATACCGCATATACATATTGTGGCGTGTATATTTTCGAACTAACCCCAAACGCGACCATCTACAGAAAGCAGTGGCGTCGAGACCACCCCTTTGGCTTCTACGCAAAGCCGCATCGGACTCCTCAAGGAACACTTGACCTCAAACGATGGGAGTGCGGTATTCCCGGCAAGGCGCAAACACTCTGGGAAGGCGGACTTTTCAAGCTTGACGTTACCTTTCCCGATGGTGGGTGAAGCCTATCGACTGGTGCTCTATGCGACAAACCTGCTAACCCGCATTCTATCGCAGAATACCCCACTAAGCCGCCGAAGTGTAGGTTCCCCTCTCTCCCGTACCATCCCCAACGCCACTCGTCCGTGCTGTTTGAAAGGTTTCGTCTATAGCACTTTTCGCGCAATAAGCTAACTAGAGTTTCCGCACTCAACAGGCAAATTTGTGCCTCCGCTTTTCCACCCAAACGTCTATCCCTCCGGCACCGTGTGTCTCTCGATCTTGAACGAGGAGGAGGCGTGGAAGCCCGCAATCACAATCAAGCAGATTCTCCTGGGTATCCAGGACCTGCTAGACGACCCCAACCCGGAGTCACCAGCCCAAGCTGAGGCATACAACCTGTTCAAGAAGGACCGCCCAGCGTACGAGAAGCGAGTTAAACAGGTCGTGAGGGAGAACCCGGCCCTTTAAAGAACGCCCCACGACGGCATGACAATTTATTATCCCACCACGAAGCTACTCTTCCGCCCGTTGTGTGTCTATTTCCGTCCCCCCAATTTCATCCCAGTTCTGCGAATTTCACGGCGGGTATGGCGGCTTAAGAGTCTTAGACCAGGTGTTCCCACGTGGGGTAGAAGGACGGGAAGCCTTCCAAAAGGGAGAGCGCAGATACACCCGCTCGGGAGTTTATGATCATGCCCAGCGCGCCATTGCAGTCAAATAGGTTCCGGAATGTCGCATGGGTGCAGGTGTGTCTTAAACTATTCTCCTGCCTTGGAGGTGTGGAATACTTGGGTTTTCTTCTTAGCGAGCAGCGTGGCGTACATCAGAACTGACAAAACTGGGCGGTTCGGAACGGCGTTTGACACTATCTTAATGCGATTTATCTAGCTCATGTCCCTTCTTTCTCTTTGGGATACTCGCATACTTCTATCTATGTCTACCATTGGGGGGTGCATGCTGGTGACCGGTTTTCGGATGATCATACCATAGATAGACGGCTTGTGCCCTCTGGGTGGGGGGAGGGTCCTCTCTAATCGACTCCAACTCAATTTTCTCCAATCTGTCATCCTTAGTGCGTAAAAGTAAAACAAGTTCCAGAAAGATCAAAAATCTGGAGAAAGTACTCTAGTAGAATATAAAATGTGGGGGATGTGCAGACAGTTGAAGGAAAATGGGACACCAACAACGTTGGAACCAAGAGAAACCCGACCCAACCTGTCAGGGCACAACCAATAAGGATGACATACATAGAAAGAAAGAAAGAAAAGTAACCGTCACAGCGACAATTCAGTTTTCTGCGTAGGAAAATTAGCGGCTATCTTATCGGAAGTGAGTCACTGAGATTTGTGGCCGAAATCGCCCCTCGGGTTCCGCCCCGCCGCCGCGAACGGGTGTGTCGCTTTTCCAATCCATATTTAAGATTTCCCGCTTCATCTCTCTCTCTTTCCCCTCGTTCTCCTATCTTTCGATTAGTCAATTGCTTCCCTTTTGCTGTCTACTTGAGTCGGTTCATCAATTGAATTGTAGTCAGCATGTGTGGTATCTTCGCGTGTCATCAGTATGTGGGCTAATCCTGAAATCTTTCTTCTCTCTCCCCTCTCTCTCTTTCAGAGTCTTTGATTTCTTTTGCGGGCCCCGCGCCACTATCGCTCTCCGGTTTTTTTTTTGAGTCACACCCTCTGATCTGAACTGCCATAGTCACCCCGATGTGCAAAAATTCAAGCCTACGGCCCTGCGCATGGCCAAGGCGTAAGTATTCCTGGTTCACTTTTGATGGTGAGTGGGGTGCTGATTGTTGTTGAACAGTTTGCGCCACCGTGGTCCCGATTGGAGTGAGTCATAAGCCTCTTTTTGGCAAGCATGCTGGTGGACATTATTCTGACTTGCGTCTAGGTGGAAGCTGGATGTCTGAGAAGACTAGTGAGTTGAGCAGCTTCGTGGGCTCGAAAAAGGTGGTGACTAATTGATTGGCAGTCCTCGCGCACGAGCGTCTGTGTATCGTCGGTGTTGGTATGTGATGTTTTGCCTCCGCCGCGGATCGTTTCGACATTCATATTAACATGGTCACTTTGCAGACTCTGGTGCCCAGCCCCTTGTCAACGACGATGGCTCCCTTGCCCTAGCCGTCAACGGCGAGATCTATAACCACCGTATCCTCCGGAAGAACCTGAAGACCAAGTATGAGTTCAAGACGCATTCCGACTGTGAGGTCGTCATTCCTCTGGTATGTGCGAAGGATATTTTTTGGTGTGTATCTGTGTAGGGTTGCTGATGGGTTTAGTACATGGAACACGGCCTTGACGCCCCCAAGCACCTGGATGGCATGTTCTCCTGGGTTCTCTACGACAAGAACCAGGACAGGGTTGTCGCCGCTCGTGATCCCATCGGTATCACCAGCTTCTACATTGGCTGGTCCTCTGAGACCCCTGGAGCCGTTTACTTCGCTTCCGAGCTGAAGTCTCTCCACCCGGTTTGCGACAAGATCCAGGCTTTCCCTCCCGGCCACATCTTCGACTCCAAGACCGGCTCTTTCACTCGCTACTTCGAGCCGACCTGGTGGGACCCCACCAACGTTCCCTCCGCCCCTGTTGACTACAAGGTCATCCGCGCTTCTCTCGAGAAGTCGGTTCGCAAGCGTCTGATGGCTGAGGTCCCCTATGGTGTCTTGCTCTCCGGTGGTCTCGACTCCAGCTTGGTCGCCTCCATCGCTCAGCGGGAGACCCTGCGTATGCAGGAGGCCGCCAAGGCCGCCCAGGCCCAGGGTGCTGAGCTGAACGAGTTGGTCGGCATTGACGACTCCAACGATCTGTCCACCGTCACCACCTTCCAGCAGCTGCACTCCTTCTCCATTGGTCTGCCTGGTGCCCCCGACACCGAGGCCGCCCTCAAGGTGGCTAAGTTCCTCGGAACCAAGCACCATGCTTTCACTTTCACCGTTGAGGACGGTCTCAACGCCCTCTCCGACGTCATCTATCACCTGGAAACTTACGATGTCACCACCATCCGTGCCTCCACCCCCATGTACCTGCTCAGCCGTAAGATCAAGGCTATGGGTGTCAAGATGGTTCTCAGTGGTGAGGGTAGTGACGAGATTTTCGGTGGATACCTTTACTTCCACGCTGCTCCCGACCGTGAGGAGTTCCACAAGGAGACTGTCCGCCGTGTCAAGAACCTGCACTTGGCGGATTGCCTGAGAGCCAACAAGTCCACCTCTGCCTGGGGTCTGGAAGCTCGTGTTCCTTTCCTGGACAAGGAATTCCTTGAGACCTGCATGGGTGTTGAACCTGCCGAGAAGATGATCACCAAGGAGCGTATCGAGAAGTACATCCTGCGCAAGGCCTTCGACACCACCGACGAGCCCGACGTCAAGCCCTACCTGCCCGACAACATTCTCTGGCGCCAGAAGGAGCAGTTCAGTGACGGTGTCGGCTACAGCTGGATCGACGCCCTCAAGGACCAGGCTGAGGTGCACGTCACCGACGAGATGATGAAAAACCCCAAGCCCGAGTGGGGTAGCGACATTCCCGACACCAAGGAAGCGTATGTTTAGAGTTTTGTGTCATTGTATTGCCGAAGACAGGGACTGACATTCTCTTAGCTACTGGTACCGTACAATGTTCGACGAACTCTTCCCGGCTTCTTGTGCCGGCACTGTTGAGCGTTGGGTACCGACCTGGTCCAAGCAGACCGACCCGAGTGGCAGGTAAGCATATGATGCATCAGAACGCAGAAGTAAACAGACAGCTGATATGTTTGACCTTCTTTAGAGCTATTGCGACTCACAACGCCAAGTACGAAAACGCCGTTTAAATGTCTGGGTAATGAATATTGCGTGTCTTAACTTCTTGCGGAGAGTTTGGGTATAGAACCATGTATAGATGATTTACCAGGGATACTCATTGGGACGCGAAAAAAAGCGAATTTCAGTTAGATGCGTCGGGATCACCGCGTATTGGCTTTTCCTTTTCTTTCATCTATGATGTCTTCTTCCATTACTGTTGTTGTGTGTGTTCGATCGGCAAGATCTGTAAGAGTTGTAGGAATGGTTAAGAGTAGTTCGGGCGAGGTTACCACACCGGCAGATTATGAGTCAAGCGCGGATGGTGCTGATCAGGAGGGACATGCGTTGTCACGGTCATACGAACCCCATGTGGTTGGGCTGGGTTCCATGGTAGGTCCATGCATGCTGTCCCGATGGGGATGCGTGACAGGCATCCAGGATGATACAATTGCTACATTTCTGAGAAGCGGTCAATTTCATAACATAATAGTAATTATGTTTTCTTTTTTTCATTTTCAAGTTATTGAGAGAAGCTAAAGGAAAGTATTATACTTTGTTTTCTCATCGTTCAGGACGAACGGAAGCCGAGGATAAGCAAGCAACTAACTACGAAGTAACTAGTTAGTTAGTGTTAGTAGTACGTAGTAGTCAGAACACGGCGGGCTGAACTCTCGGGAAACCTTGGAAAGGTTGACTCGCAATTCAGGCGCGGAATCTCAGCCGCCAGGCATCGACATCACGGGACTTAGCGGCTTCTACCGGCAACCGAGCACCGACCAATCAGGGTGGGGGGTTTCTCCCGTGGCTTCCCCATTGTTTGGCGACTCAACTTCGACCTTCTTTCCTGCCCGGTTTCCCCATCGTTTCCCTTTCCCTTTCCTTCTCCCCTCATCATCTTCAGCCTTTCCACTCTATCCTCTCTTATCTCCTTCTGACGTTTTCGTCATCTCCTATACCACCTCATTCACAATGTCTGCTCCTGCTGCTTTCTCCGACATCGCCAAGGCGGCCAACGATGTATGCTGCCCTCACCACCTTTGAAATTTGTTACCTTGGAAGACAGCTTCCCGGGAAGGGATTTTCGTGCTAATCCTCTGCACAACAGCTCCTGAACAAGGACTTCTACCACAACAGCGCCGGTGAGTTCCCTCCCAATTCCTGCGCCCCTGAATTGGGTTGTTTGCTTTTTCCCTTTTTGCGCGCGACTCGGCTGACTCAAGTGTTACTCTAGCCAACCTCGAGGTTAAGTCCAAGGCTCCCAATGGCGTCACCTTCAACGTGAAGGGCAAGTCTGCCCACGAGGGTCCCATTGCTGGCTCCGTAAGTTCACCACCCAATTGGGCGTCCTTCCATTGAACTATGGATCATAATGCTAACCATCATCCTGTTATAGCTCGAGGCCAAGTACGTTGACCAGCCCACTGGTAAAGGCCCCGGAAACGCAAAAAACAATGCGAACATCCCTTGCGCACACCACCCGTCCCTTCGTCCCCAGCAGTACTTGAGGATAGGTTCACGTTCATGTTTGCGTGCAGCCATGCCCCATCCCAGCGCTTCTTCCTTCACTTCATGTCCAGGATTGTGGAACATGCAGGAATGCTAATTATCCGTCCCCACCCAGGCCTTACCCTCACCCAGGCTTGGACCACTGCCAACGCCCTCGACACCAAGCTCGAGCTCGACAACAACATCGCCAAGGGTCTCAAGGCTGAGATCCTGACCCAGTACCTCCCTGCCAAGCAGTCCAAGGGTGCTAAGCTCAACCTCTACTTCAAGCAGCCCAACCTGCACGCCCGTGCCTTCTTCGACCTCCTCAACGGCCCCTCCGCCAACTTCGACGCTGTTCTCGGCCACGAGGGCTTCCTCGTCGGTGCTGAGGGTGGCTACGACGTCCAGAAGGCCGCCATCACCAAGTACTCCGCTGCCGTTGGCTACAGCGTTCCCCAGTACTCCGCTGCCATCACCGCTGGCAACAACCTGACCGTCTTCTCCGCCAGCTACTACCACCGCGTCAACGCTCAGGTTGAGGCTGGTGCTAAGGCTACCTGGGACTCCAAGACCGGCAACTCCGTCGGCCTTGAGGTTGCCAGCAAGTACCGCCTTGACCCCTCTTCCTTCGCCAAGGTACGTAACACCCTCAGAAGTTCAATGGTCAATCGTTAACCCATTTTCTATAGGCCAAGATCAACGACCGTGGTGTTGCCGCTCTGGCCTACAACGTTCTCCTCCGCCCTGGTGTTACCCTCGGCCTTGGTGCTTCCTTCGATACCCAGAACCTGAACCAGGCTGCCCACAAGGTTGGCGCCAGCTTCACCTTCGAGGCTTAGATGAATTTTCCTTGTTTTCAGCACCCGCCCATGCCTAGTCCTTTGTGCTCCGATACTGCCTGATAGAGTAGATTTTGGAAGTCATTGAGATGATCGATTGATTCCTGGTTGTCTCTCGTCCGGCTGTTGGTATACGCGGGATAGGAGTTGGGAGTGGGCGCGGGGTTGTTATATGGATGTTTAGATAATAATCATGTATCACACCCTTTCAACGATAGTGTATATCAATCAAGCCTATATTTCCTTGTTTCAAGCCAAGCCCGTCTATAGTATATACAAATGTGGACTCTCCGCAGAGTCGCGGGTATAGAACCAGCTATAACCGAATGCATGCCGAACTGAACCTCCCAGCAAGTCCTGCGCCAGATGAATGTCTATGAACCAGCCAGTTGCCTCCAATATACAGAACCAACCCAACCCACCAGGAAGAGAACTGACCACACTCTAAACCCCGATCATCCCTCCTTCCTCCCCACCGACTTAGTCGACTTCGTCTGCCCACCGGCCCGATCACCGTTCCACACCCCCGTCATAGCGCCCGCCCCCATTAATATCCCACAGACCACAATAAACCTAACAGCCATGGCCCCGGGACTCCCAAGATACTTATCATTAATGTGCGACGCCCCAGCCATCTCCCTCGACCTCCGCTCCTGCCTCCTCTCATCCTCCCTCGTCTGCGTCCTATAATGCCCCTTCGCATTAAAATGCCACACCGTATTCCGATGAATAAATGACGTCGGATCATCCTCTGCTGTCCCCTTCGCACCACCACTACCACCACCACCACCACCTTCTCCATCTACACTAGCACCAGCACCAGCACCAGCCCGCCTCCCAGTCCCTCCATACCCCCCATGCGCATAGAAACTCGGCGGCGGCCCACGGAACTGACCCCGTCGTTTACTTAATCCGCTGGCTGGGCGCGACCCCGCGTACGACGCCCCCTTCGTGTGCAGGTTCGCGCTGTAGCTGCTGTAGCTGCCCATGGGGTGTTGGCCTGGCGTTGCTGTGCTGTGCGTTGAGGATGCATGGATGTGGATGTGGTGGTCGCGGTCGTAGATACTGCGTTTCGTGGCATTGCTGAGGGTGTTGTAGGCGCTGGATATTTGGGCGAATCGGTTGGAGGCGCTGGGGTCGTCGCGGTTGCGGTCCGGGTGGTGTTGGAGGGAGAGGGCGTAGAATTTCCTGGAATTGGTTTTAGTAGAAGGTGGGGAGGGAGGGGATGATGGGATTGGGGGGAAGGTTACTTTTTGATCTCGGATTGGGTGGCGGTTGGAGGGACGTCGAGGATTTCGTAGTAGGTTGGTTCGCGTGCGGTGGGGGAGTAATGGGGGTGGATGAGGTGAATGTTCG